AAATTGATATTATTGATGCTGAATATGGAGAATGTGATATTGTCTGTGTTAGCGAAACTCATCTGAACACTTCAATTACAGATGATGATATTCTGACTGAACATTTTTCTAATGTTTTTCGAAATGATAGACAACACAGACGAGGAGGAGGTGTTCTTATATATGTAAAAAGCAATATTATTGCAAAACGCAGAACTGATCTTGAATCTGATGATGTTGAGGTTGTCTGGGTAGAAATCAAACTACAAAAAAAACTTATACTTGTTGGGTGTTTATACAGGGCTCCAGATTCTATAGCCAATTACTGGAGCAAGTTAGATGAAGTCCTTGAAAAAGTCTGTGATCTAAATAAAAGGGTATTTCTGCTTGGTGATATTAACCAGGATATGTTGAAATTAACCCCTAATTCCCATCTGAAAAGATTAATGACCAAATATGGATTGGAAAATATTATTAATGAACCTACTAGAATAACCTTCACATCATCAACTTCCCTCGATATAATATTGACAAATGATACAATTAAAGTCTTCAATGTAGCTGTTCATTCTCCAACTTTTAGTGACCACTGTGCTATAAGTGCAACTATTTCATACAAGACACTTCGGTAAACTGCTTTTAAAAAAAGACATTGATATATTTTAATAATGCAGACTTTGTTAATGCTTATCATTATCTTTCAGCAATTGACTGGGAAGATGAGCTCGGTAACACAGATACTATTGAAGTTTTAAATGAAATTGTTTCTAGTAAAATAATGACATGCATTGACAAATTTGTACCACATAAGACTGTAGTAATAAGACCAAATGATAAAATATGGATGAATAATGAAATTTGCCTGAAAATGAGACAGAGAAATAGACAACATTCAAAGGCTTAACAAATTAATACTCCCACTTCATGGGGGAAAATATAGACAGCTACGAAATACAGTTATTACCATGATTAAAAATGCAAAACAAAATTATCTTTCAAAATTACAAAACTCTCTTACTGACAAAAGCAGTCCACCTGGAAAATGGTGACGAATAGCCAAATCTGTTATTAATTCAAAAAATAAAAATGATACTGATTATCCTTTGCAAATTAATGGTGAATTGAAAGTACATCCTTTAGATAAGTTTGAATCATTTAACTCTTTCTTCACATCTATTTCTACAACTGATAAAATTATTGAAGACGTCCCATCTAATATTCCTCCTTTCCCCCATCAACAATCAAATGTTATGATTACTGAGCAAGATGTATGTGACCAGCTCCATCTCATTAATGTAAAGAAGCCCCCAGGTCCGGGCTCAATTCACCCTAAATTTATCAAAGGTGTATCTGAATCACTTGTTAAGCCTTTACATATTCTTTTTAATAAATCTCTGGAATCTGGCTTTTTACCTCAAATCTGGAAAAATGCTAATGTCACTGCTATTTTTAAGGGCAAGGGGGTGAGGAGTGATCCATCTAATTAAAGACCTATTTCTATCACACCATTATTTAGTAAAATGCTTGAAAAGATAGTTTTTAAATATCTATTCAATTATCTGTCAACAAACAATATAATTTCTAAAAATCAATCTGGATATCTCCCTAAAGCCTCTACAGTGAACCAGCTATTAACAGTATATGATACAATACTTAAACAACTTGATAGAAGAAAAGATGCAAGACTATTTTTTTGCGATATTAGTAAAGCATTTGACATGGTTTGGCATGATGGACTTGTATATAAATTTAAAAAAAGTATGGCATTAAAGATAATGTGCTTAACTGGCTCTCTAATTACTTAATTGATAGGCAGCAGCGTGTAGTAATTGATGGATTTCAATCTTCGTGGAAGACTTCTTTATCAGCTAGGGTACCACAGGGCTTATTTATATTAATGACTTAGAAAATGAAATTCAGTCTAATGTCAATTTTTTGGCCGATGATACTTCATTATTTGTGCTAATAGATAATGACAAAATAGCTGCTGCTGAAATTTTAAATAATGATCTTAATAGAATATCTATGTGGGCAAATAGATGGGGTATTCTTTTTAATCCCAATAAAACAGAAGCCCTACTAATTTCAAACAAACATAATACTGATGGACTACATCCTGACCTTATATTCATTAACAACATTGTGGCAAACGTAAAAAAGCATAAACATCTTGGAGTTTTTCTTAATTGTCATGGATCATGGTCAGATCACATCAATTTTATTTATGAAAAAAAATATAAAAAATGAATCTGTTCAGATCACTTAAGTATAAATTCGACAGGAAATCTTTAGAAATAATACACAAATCTTACATTCGTCCAAACCTTGCCTATGCAAGTGTTTTGTGGAATAATTGTAATCAGACAGAATCCGATCTTCTTGAAACAATCCAGCTAGATGCTGTTAAAATAGTTACTGGATAACGTAGGGGTACTAGTAATGCTGTCATTTATAATGAACTAGGATGGGATACACTTAGGAAAAGCAGAAATGACCAGCAACATATGCTATTTTTTAAAATAACAAACCGTCATACCCCTAATGAAAACATTGAACCTTATATTATAAACAATGACTTAGTGACTCATGATATTCGACATCAACGTGTATTTCAAACACCCTTTTGCAGAACTAGTATATATTTTAACAGTTTTTTTCCGAATATGATGTCTCGTTGGAATAGATCTGATTGTAATTATTATAATTTGAGGTCTGTAAGTGAACTTAAAAAGCAACTCGTCCATCATGCCTTTCTTCCTAATGCTGAGGATACATGTAGAAATGCTTTTAAATATGGAGGGACTAGATCTTTTAACGTCATTTAATGTCAACTTAGAAACCAGGCAAGTCAATTAAATTCTGATCTTTTTAGAGACCACCTTACTAATAGCCCATCCTGTATATGCGGCAACCATGACGAAGATGTGGATCACTTCTTTCTGTACTGCCCTAGGTATATAATCCAAAGACAAAACCTATTAGATTATCTGTCTCATTTGCAGCTTAACATTCAACTAAACCTACATTTAAATCTTGACTTAAACCTGATTGAACATTTAGTAAATAATATCAATATACTAACTAGGGGAAGTAACCACCTGAGTCATGATCCTAATTCTGCTATTTGTGTATGTGTTCAGAAATATATTGAGTCTACTAACAGATTTTGAAATAACTGTTAATTATAGTCCCAATGCGTATATATACATGTCTACATGGATACTCCTTCAATACGGCTCATGCTCTGGATTGTCAATGATTGGTTAAGCACACAGTGGTGGTGTGTATGGATATTTTAGTACTGCCCAGTTATTATTGTTAACTGGAGTAGGAGTGGTTATGGACGACTAGTTGGTGTTACAAATTATTTAACTAATAATATTTAATATTTACTGTATTGAATGAAGGTTCCAGTTTTTGATATTAATATATGTTGTAAAATTGATAAAATGTGATTATTTACAAATGAGTATACACACATGGCTTTCCATTTTGAAATATAATATATATAAACTGGTTACTATGTGAAGAAAAAACCCGAAAAACCCCCAAATATATTTGTTTTATCTCAGTATTTTTTTTTATTATTATTTTGCCTAGTTCAGAGATGGATAGAGATTAATAATTATTAAGTACTATCTATTTTTCCGAGCAAGTTCTAATATGTTAATGTTTAAATTATAATTATATTATTGTTTGAAATGTATGTAACCCAAGGGAGAGGGCTCGTATAGGCATAGCCTGTTGCCCAAAACCCATTGATTCAATTGATTTAATAAAATATTTTGAAATGAAATAGAAATCAATATCAATTTTTTATTTGTATATGTGTTAATAGAGAAAAGTTATATATACGTCAAGATAGGTCATATATCAATTCGACAAATAATAATATTAAAAAAATTCTTTGCATTTAAACTTGTGATGCTGTTGTAAAGTGTATAACAGGACACTCTTAAAAGGGACCATGCCTTTAGCTTAATACAAGCTATAATGTTTAATCGATTAAGTTTGAAAGCATGTCAAGACGTTCTGCTCATTAGCAGTAACATTTTGATAGAATCACAAGTATCATTATCAAAACAAGAACTACGTATATAGCTGAGCATGCTCATATCCTTCTCTCCAATCCCCAAAAATATTGCTGCTGCACCCCACCTCTGCATACAGTAGAGACTAATGTCACTGTCAACCTTTGAAATTAATAGCTTTTACCCGACAAAGCGTTTATGCTCGCTGTCGGAGTTCTCAGGGAAAACCACAGGACTACGGCAAGTACCTGGCGACTGCCCCACTTAGGTCTCGAACCCGGCATCAGAATGTAAGACGCCTTAACCACTCGGCCACCGCAGTCACCTCAACAATTGATAAAGATGAGTTAAAGTAACAAATCTTTCCTTCTTTTATATGCCAGATAAAAGAGTGTTTTTTTTTAAAATAATTTTGGTTCGATTTTTCTCAACTGTTTTTTCCACTTCCAGTTTGTAAAAGAACGAATAGCCTAAAAAAGCAGCAGAACATTAACTTTTTTGTCCGTTTTCTAGCTATCCTTTCAACGACCCAACAAGCAAATATAGGTAAACACAATATAAAAATACATTGAGATTTTTTTTAAATGCATTCGCTTTAAAATCATATCAAGTTTACGCAGGCTCAGTTTGGTCACTTTAACCCACCTATATCTAGATTTCCTGAAAATCTACTTACAAGAAAAGAATGTCTGCATGCCCATTTTAGATCGTATATGACCAGAACATCGTGACCTCGATCCGTGTATTGCTTTTGTAATGTTCGATTGGTATTTGAGTTGTTTTCGATACTCGAGTGCCTGAAGTGAACACTAACAAAATGGCAGGTGTATCATCAACTCCTCGATATAGTACAGTAGTGAACTCTAAATTGCAACCGGTTCCAAGAACCAAGCAAAACAATGAATCTATCTTTAGTAAAGGGTATTCCCAACGCCCTAAAATTACATGAACGTAATAAACTTCCGTGTTTCAAACTGCATTGGCCTCGTTTTCATCGTGTATTTCCCATCTTGGATATGCTAGATCATTTCTGATTGGTCCCTTAAGGATATCCGGTTGAACTATCAACAACGATTTACAGAATGGAACTGTTCCATGCAAGGTAGGTAACATAGGCCACAAAAAACACTCTGAAACACTGTGAATTAACGACCCTGTGCTTCGTGTTGAAGAAGACAAGCAAATTGTCAAACTGAAAACGTCATGAACTTACATAAAATATTCGTTTATGATGGTTTATGTCGACAGCATGGCGCTACCCAGTGTTTATGATTGAACTGATGGGGAGAGGGAGGGGTGTCAAGTGCTGTTACGGGTGTCACTTTTATCAAACCATTGTTTAGCATTTTCAGTCATAATTGCTATGTTTGTTGGCACAATGCTGGATAACAACTGTTATTTTCAATTTGGCATGCATCTGATATTCAGATATAGTTGTCTGCAATAATAACAATGACTCATTTATGCTGCGTATGTGATATAAAACAAGCAAGTGTTTACAGGTCAGCAGTTCAGAATAGTCTAACATAATGGGATGTTTTAACCGTTACTATGCACACATCTAGCACACTAAATAGGGTCTATATCCTTATGTTTGTGAGTAGAATGATTGTTCAGAATAAAGTTAATAAAACAAATGTTTAGTCATACAAATTGGTGCAAAACTGTTTGCATGCACTTAAAAATGCGTGTGTGACACACCATTTGTATGTCTGATAAAACAACAACCGTGTTTGCTTTACGTGTGATTTATTGCCGAACCAATTGTTTACTTCACAATAGCATACAGTTACATATGTAATACGGTACTTTTAAAGGGAGAAAGCTCTGTCTAACATGTAATATATTACTTATTTTTCTACTTATACACACACTGTACAAATGGGTGTACAATTGTATACATTTCCGTCTGCGATAGTAAATACATACACGCATACTACATGTTACTGTTTGCAAGTATTGACAAATGTATAATACATTTCTGGTTGGTAAATATATATGCTACATGTATACCTTCCTGTTGTAGTGAACACATGTATAATACTTGTCTGTGATTGTAAATACATGAATCATACCTGTCTGTGATAGTAAATACAGGTGGGAGCAAACTTAACTTGGTAGCCTAGTGCACTGGAGTTAACAAATAAGTTAACTCCATTTCACCAGCTTGTGCACTGGAGTTAAAAATGAAGTTTAAAGTTAATATTAAAAATTAACTTATGCATTTAAATTTTAAAAACAGACAATTTAGTGTTTATAATATTAGTATATCAATCCTCCCCCCCCCCCCCAATTTTTTTTAATTGAAACTTATAAAATACATATATAAAAATTACCTTACATATCACATACACAGAAAAGTCACAAGTCAGACAGGTAACTTTCTCACAGGTAAGTTACCTGTGGGATAAGTATGAAACAGACTATAATTGGTTTGCCATTGTCATCCTATATCAACACTTTTCTTTGTTCTCAAACAACTTGGGGAACTGAGAACACCCCAATTTAACCTGTCTGAACCCTAGCACAGGAGACACCTGGTGAAAAGCCTTGAGGGTGTGGGTATTTCACAAAGTATTGGGTCTGATGTCAAGAGAGAGAAGAGACAAAACACCGTATATACGCCAGCTGTAGAATTTATGTTTTTCTCTCTCTCTCTCTCTGTCTGTCCTTTTCTGCAAACGGAGGGTTGGGGGGTCCTGACCCTAAAAACATCCCTATGCACCAATGATATGTATTTTAAGGGGGATGTCATATTTTTTTCAATTGTGTCTTTGTAAATTTAGTTATCAAGTTAATTTAGACTTTCTTAAAACAACAACTAAAAACAAATAATATTGAAGTTAGACGCTCTCTAGGTCTGTTTCTAGTAAGAAAATATGTTTAACTACATGTCTACTATGAAAATAAATATAAGAAGAAACTTTAAAAGTGTCTGAAGAATAAAATGTTGTATTATTCAATCAAAATAAACGCCTAATGGTATTGTCATATCTCTTATAAACGTACAGGTACAAAAGGCTCTTTCATGGTTCAGTGACCCATTAATTTATGATGGGGTGTGTCAACAAGTAGTGTTGACTATTTATGTAACAACCAGTTTGTAAACCATCAGATGGAGTAGGTAGTGTGAAACACTACTATAAAGTCAAAGTCGCTATTTGGGAATAGAATCGTGCCTGAAGCTGTCATTTCCTGACAAAGGGACAGCCACAGTATCTTACCTGTAACCATGTACTGATTTACTTATATATCTACTGGACAGATTAATTGACAGGATTAATTGCCTTCATACAATTAAGGTGTTCAAGATTAGGAACAGCCAATCAGAATTCCATGTGACCACAGGTGAATGGTTAGTGAGTGGTCTCAGGTAGATATCATATAGAAAAGAAAAATATGTATCAGGGGGTATTAACATTGCCCTAGCAACCATCTTTTAATCTGTCACTGAAGTAAAGTTGTAACTGTATGATTAAAATTTGAGGTTCCCTGTGAAATTTATTTGATTTGACTTTTTATTAGTAATTAGATTGACTTATTTCATTTTTGTACATGTATAAATAACTTAACCTACAGGTGCTTGCACCCAGCAACCCTGGATGCTCTTCAATGTTTTGTCAAGTGAACTTCCTTTTTCACTATGTGTGCAATACGAAGTGCACTAGATATCAAGTTAAGTTTGCTTCCAACAGCATATGTGTAAAACCTGTCTGTGATAGGAAATACACATGTAAGACCTCTCTGTGAGAGCAAATACATGTGGCAGACCTATCTGTGATGGTATATACATGTATCATACCTGTGTGTGATATTATATATACATGTGTAATACCTGTCTGTGATAATAAATACATATGTAAAACATGTCTTTGATAGTTTATACCTGTATAAGACCTGTCTGTGATAGTAAATCCATATGTAAAACATGTCTGTGATAGTCTATACATGTGTAAGACCTGTCTGTGATAGTAAATACATATGTAAAACATGTCTGTGATAGTCTATACATGTGTAAGATCTGTCTGTGATAGTAAATACATATGTAAAACATGTCTGTGATAGTCTGTACATGTGTAAGACTTGTCTGTGAAAGATCATGCAATACTCAGTATTAACATTGCATGTTTATCATCAAACTTTAGGACGGAGGTACCTATATCTATAATAGCAGAAACTGTGGTATTCTTTTATGTTAAGAATGTATATTTATCAATATGATCGTCATTTTCTTCCTATTGTCTATATCTATTTATTTTTTGATTGGGTTGTTTGATGTCTTTTGCAATAAAAAGAGTGATAACATTTTCTTTAAAATGCGCCTGTTGCCTCGTTTTCTTTTAGTTAGTCAATACGTGAAAAAAACGCAAACACAACTAGAGAAAGGTTCATACAGCAATTATAGGTCTTTACAGCTACATGTATAAAGTTCAATCGGCAGTGTACTGGACCTAATGATACAATAAAGTGAATTGAAACCGGGATGTTTTCAAAAACTACAAACAAAATGTACAAGTCCTAGTTTTCATCATGATCAACTTCGATAATTTAAAATAAGTGTTCAAATTTCTGTAAAATTTAAAGACAAATATGAATATGAAATGTTATCTTCATGTATCATAAACCTAGAGAACCTTGATAAAACTGAACCTTGTAAAATTTTGAATATATTTGATATTGTCCCGAAGACCTACACACATGATTGTTTCGTGAAGTAATTGTAACTGAGTATTTAAAAAACATTGAATGAACTTCTTTCATATATGCCCTTTAGTCTTACGATACATAAACAGTAGTAAACGTCAATTACTTTTTTTAAATGCACAATTGTATAACATTTCTTTAGCCAAGATTCGGTGATATTTTCATAGTCACTTCAAAAGAGAAAAGACAAGATTAATATTTTCACTGAGAAGGTAAACATCATTCATTGTAATACTGATTCTCCTCGAATAAATGAAACCTTTTTTGACTAATATGTTACATGTTTTAATGATAATAATAATAATAATTCGATGTTCTTATATAGCGCTTTATCACAACCTAGTTCGTAGATCGTCTCAAAGCGGTTCACAAATTAGCATCCGTGGTTATAGGGACCGCAGAACCAAATGATTTTCCATAGACGATAGTGTTAACGTTTACCACTGTTCCGGTTAAATGGGGTTATCAACACTGGTTTACCTGCCCTCATTTTGAAGAATATCATCTCACACAACTGCAAATATAATATTTAAAAATTCTGCCTATTTGAACTTTTTTTTTATATGGGGGCCGCCATTTTGTATTGAATTCGGCACCAAAAATTGACCAAAATTTACAACAAATTACACACTTAATACCCCCCCCCCCCCCCAGACGAAAGCAGACTTTTAAAAAAAAAAAATATTATACATATTACAACTAAATATATATATTGCTCAACCCACACATACATTTTTGAAACTTCTGCCACCTAAATATCCAACAAGCAGGCCCCGAGGCATTCACCTTCCTATTACATCTTCTGACCAAAAGGGAAAAACCCACAATCTATTTTTGATTTGGTTCCGTGGTCCCTATAGGATCCAACATATTTTTCAAATTTACCATTTTTGGAAAAAGGCAGGACCATAGGGTATGAAACCAAAATGGGAAGTGGTTGGCTTCACGGCTTTGGCTGCTAGGTCAAGTCTTCTACTGGTACTGAAGATGGAGATTCCTGCAAGAAAAGACAGGAAATTTGAACCAATTTCAAAATGTAAACTTAAATATCTTAATAAACGTTATACTTAAACTTATGGTTTTGAGTTTTTATTAAAGTACAGGTAATGTATTATTCAGAAATATAAACAAATAACTTATTGTCTGAAGATCAGGGGAGCTAACTCAATTTTAAGACCTAAACCCCCTTAATTTTGGACTTTTTGTAAAAAAAAAATCAAGAAACCAGCAATTATTTAGAGAAAAGATCCAAAAACAGACACAAAAGTAAAGAAAAGTAAATAACTGTACAAATAGTAAAACACCACAATTATATGATTACATAATATTTACGTAACACCAGCTGAGATGAAAGACAGTGAGGTAATCGTGAAGTGTTACCAAAGTGTACATTGTGAGTGCAGGACCAAATCACTAGTGTGTGCAGGGAAGAAAAAGAAATAACTTGCTTACAGACAACGTATACTTACCAAGTGATTTCAAGGTCAGCGGTGTCAAAAATTCTGACGGAGAAAGTTAAGGCTTGTCTCGGTGACTCCGTGTTGGAAATGACCCTCAGAAACCTGTCGACCCAAAAGGTAGAATCTGTGAACAGACGGCTGAAGAAGTCTCTCCCATCACGTGTGAACTTTACTAGTAACTTTACAGGGAGAGCTCATAGGGCAGGGTGTCATGTGAACCATGAACCGGGGACTGTTATTAAAGAACTGTGTAGTGGGGCTTGGCCTCCAATCACTGCTTAGAGCTCTGTGTCCAAGGATCTAGATAATGATCAAAAAGACATAATTGTGGTGTAAAATTCAAAAGAGAAATAAGAGACACAAATTTCCAAATTACATGACTGTTAAATTGATGAAGAAATGTATGTGAAAGACAGAGTTATGATTGAGAAAAAGAAATGAAACATTAAAATATTGAGAACTTAAAAAATGGTCTTGTTATTTTTACAAAAAAGACAGACAGACAGACAGACAGACAGACAGACAGACAGATATATTACTAATATAGGTTCATATCAAGACAAAAGTCTGATGTGGCAGAGGTGACTGACCTCCAAAATCATGACGTCACAGTCCGTCCTCGGGAAATCCTCCTTCAGCAATCTATAATGTATCATCAGTGACAGTCGGAGCACTAGTGCTCTTTGTTGTTCTGTGTCCGTTTGGCCATCTAACCACAATACGCGCATATCCTCCCTAATCCATGGCCCCCCTCCACACTCTATATGGATGTAAATTTTCGTATAGTATCCTTCTGCAGCTAATTTTCCCTCTTAAGTCTGCCAAAACACATCCATGAATAGATTCACAACCAGAAATATGCTGGTGGGTCCCATCATCTGGTTTCCAGGGACGCTTGGATGGTGTAGAACGTCATATCCTGCATCTTTCTATAGGGACCGCAGAACCAAATGATTTTCCATAGACGATAGTGTTAACGTTTACCACTGTTCTGGTTAAATGGGGTTATCCACACTGGTTTACCTGCCCTCATTTTGAAGAATATCATCTCACACAACTGTAAATAAAATATTCTGCCTATTTGATTTTTTTTTATATGGGGGCCGCCATTTTGTATTGAATTCGGCATCAAAATTTGACCAAAAAACTCCCCCAGACGAAAGCAGACTTTTTTTTCTTTTTTTTTTTAATACATATTACAACTATATATATTGCTCAACCCACACATATAACTTTTGAAACTTCTGCCACCTAAATATCAAACCAGCAGGCCCCGAAGCATTCACTTTCCTATTAAATCTTCTGCCCAAAAGGGAAAAACTCACAATCTATTTTTGATTTGGTTCCGTGGTCCCTATAGAGCCTTTGCAACCAGCCTATATATTTCTCAACCCCCTGGGGAGCGTACAGTCAGTGCTGTCATTTCGGCCTTTACAGTTAGCGTTCGATAATTCTAGCACTGCCCAACCACGTACTCATGTACGTCCTTCCACTTGACTACCGTGCCTTTTAAGCTATGATACTTCATATTGACGAATCCAAATCATGTTGCGAACCTTATGTATTATGATTATCTTTTGAGTCGGAAAATTAAACAAGTGCAGGAGTCTGATAGCCACCTCCTACAACTAAGCACAGAAACATAATGTAAACACATGTGCTACTTATGAATTATAGCAAAAAAATCAGATGGAATCATTCTTTTTCTGGACAAATTTTCTCCAGTTTGAATGATGTTCAGAGACAAGAGTACACAACTCTACCTAGCAGGACGCTCCGTCTGTTCATGATTACTTCTCGGCTATGTCAGCATTCATTTGTAAATCTAAGTACATTTAAACAATTGGGATCAGCCATGTATCATTTAAGGGCATGGCACACCTAACAGGGGGAGCCAAATTAAGTCAAAGGAAACGTTACACCGACAAATATGTTATCTAACTAAATCTTACAGGAACCAAAAATCAAAAATGTCAATGACTACAAATTCAAAACGAGATATTGCTTCAATTATCATAATTGAAAACGACATTTATATTTAATATTTTTAATATATATTTTTAATTTTTAAGCTTCATGCATGTCTTTGTTTGTTGTTGACTTGTTTACCCATAACTAGTACAATGTACGCAAAACTCCTTGAAGACCCCATCACTGCAAATAGTTATCTAGTCTTTAAATGCTCGTATGTGTACACAACAACATGTATTCCTGATACATTTGAATCTACACACTGTCATTTATGTCACATTTCTGCTATTACTAAACCTCACCCCAATTAAAAAAACAATAGTTCCTTCAATATGTTTCTAAAGTTATTCATTAATTTAATCGTGATCCCTGAAAACGAGTTTATAAATAGACATTATCAGTGCTTTCATCACAAATATACATGTATATACATTTCATATATTTTATAAACAAAACATGTAGTTAATTAATATTTAAAAAAATGATAGACGTTAAATCATTTCAAATACAATATGGGATAAGTGAAGAGGGCTTATTCATTGTGAAGTAATTCGGAAACACAAGGGTTGTTGAGTGTCTAGACTGCTACAAACTTCCTTCCCAGTAATTGCAATACCAAAATGTGATTCGTTTGAGGTATAATACATTCAATAAATTTTGAAATCATAAAAACCCATTCAAAGAAAACATCACGAAGAAATGAAAATAAAGTGCAAGTGACAACATTTGGAGATTCCTTTAGAATTAACAATTGACATTGTTGACAAAGAATTCACGACTTTTTATATCATAAATTCCCTTTCTGAATATTAATTTCGCTGCGTTATCGACCTTTTTACATTCTGCAGTTTATTCAGTATTCAAATGCTTTTCCTTAATAACAATATTTTCATGATTTATATCGTCTACCGTACTGACGGACAAAAGAAAACGATAGTGTTTCGAAAGATGCAGGTTGATGAAGACTAGGAACTATGGTCGACTAAGGTCGCCATCATGTTATGATTATATACATTTTTGACTTAGATTTACATGGCTACTGTTGTGGATGAAGAATCAGAAGCTTACCACTCCAGATTACAAGACCGTATTCTTTATAATCTTAAACGGTCTCCCATGTAAATCTTCCTTGTGTGTCCATACCCTGCCAGGATTTTATCGACTTTGTGTTTAGTATTCGGTTTTAGTTAATGTTAGTATACTCTTGTATTCTCTTTTAGTTTTTGTTCTGGAAAAGTAATATTCTAGATTAAAAAGCTACTACTCCATCGTACTTAGCTTACCAACAGCTTACGTTGGATTACCTACCAGTAACTCATCCTTTAGCACGCTCTTTTCCTACATTCCCATTCAGCTCTGACCCACTTTGGCAAGTTGTTGTAGGCAATCATAATATTATCAACAATATAAAGCTACGAGGGGCCCCGATATCAATTGGAATGTGAATTTAAAGATAATGGATTCTACGGAAGACTAAACCAGAACATAGGCAAAACAAGAGTGTGCTAAATTCGATTGGGTTTTTAGCTTACCTGCAAATAATATTGTCTATTTACATCTCGGTAAACGTTTCTCAAAGAATTTAACCTCACATGGAAAACAACAGGACGACAAGAAGAGATACTGCCGTCTCCACCTCCCCATCAGTCGCATTCAGCTCCCATCATGATATACCGAACAAACAATAGTGAACGACATTCCACTTTAATCTCGTAGTTGTGAATAATGTCATTAAAGCGACTAGAGTGTGTCTGGCAAGGTACAATTCTGGTCAAGATATGAACTCAGAAAATGAAAACTTTGTATTCTAAATATGATGTTCATTCAAACTATTATTCATATTATGTAACTACAAAATATTTGTCTTTTATTTTATCCATATATAACACAAACACCACAATTAAGTTTTCCTTTCTGTGGTAACGTACAAATAGTAATAGAGTTATAACATAAACATGAACCGAAAATTAATTATTTCTTGAAACATGTTGGGCATCTCTAATAAAGGAAATTTGTGTCACTGTGACTACCTGCCATGTAATATAGGTGATCCCGAAGTATTCAGACAATTGCATGTATCTATTGTTTCGACATATTACCCAGCAGACCTAGCATCTGAACCTGTGTTGTAGTTCTGTGACACAGCAAATAGTAAGATCTCTCTTAATAAATATAATATAGTAGCCGACAGAATGACACTGATTACAGCTATACATGCGACCTGTTTATGCCAACCAATAACGACCAAAGCGGAACACATATGCCACTTTCGATAACATTGAATGTGATTGATCCTTAATTGTTTATAACGATGCTTGACTATGCACTACATAAATGAGCTATTATAAAATGCATGTTGATTTTACTATGTTATAGGTTTCACTTGTGAGACTTGAGAAGATAACTGAGCAAGATGGGACGGCATCCATTTGGTACCAAGGCATTCTGTCCTTTTAAAGGTAGTGCTATATATAGCTGTTTGCTTTCCAATTGTATTTAATTTCATGATGTTGAATAGCGGGAATCACCAAAACGATGATTTGTATTGATTTGCCTGATAAAAAAATAAAATCTGTCAATGTTTATCTATATTAGTTGTAAATTGATTTCCCTTGCCATATTTTTAACATATTATATCTGTTTAATACACCACTGATTCCTTGTTTCAGGATTGAATGGTAGATTTAACATACACCTGTATGTTAGCGAAGTGATTGTCACGGAGGAATATTTTACCATGTCCATGTTTCATGTTCAGTACAACTACAATCCAAATGTAAAGACACATCTACAACTGGAGTGTGTTTCATGGTACATTTTATATGTTCCAATAGTGGTGGAAGCATATATAGTCCAAGACGTTGATTACCGCTATAAAAGCTTCGAACGCTTGTCCCTAGATATCTGTGATGTGAACCGTTTGGTGAAGGCAGGATTTTCTTGTACAGACCACAGATCACCTATCATAGAGTGCACTGCCTGTGGATTGCTGCTCAACCTCACTTCCCTTCAGGAAACTAATCCATATGGGTATCATCTAAGGTGTTCACCAAACTGTGAATTCTTTCAAGAGAACAGATTGCAAAATGGACATCTCACAATGACTAATGGTGAAGATACATTTGCTCGTGAGAGAACCAACCGTTCTCTTCAGCCATCTACACTGTTTAGAATGGAGAAAACAGACAATGCTACGAGTAGAAATAACACAGATGGGATAAAAGCAAACCTAAAACGAGAGAAAGATAGAAAGGTTCCTTTTCCGAATGGTAACCCGTCCTTTGAGATGAAAGGTGTTGAACAGATAAGCCATTTTAATGGCAATTTGCCGTCAATGGAGTCACAAGGAGCTCAAGGTGGCGCTACGTCAAACACAGTATGTGTGTTTATACAAATGTGCCTAACAAAACATGTTCAATGTTAAGTATATGAATTATGTTATATTGTTCGGTGTTTATCTAGCATAAACTCTCTAAGGTGGTGTAAATACATGTACAGCATCAACACAGTCATTTTGATTAATGGTAAATGGTAAAACTACAAAAGTACATTACAAACAGCATGATGGATACGACTTTCTACGATATAACAAAAATGTATTTATGTTCCTTATTCGTTTGATCATTTGTAGACATATTCCCCACCACATATGTATTTGACCGAACAGGACAGAATAGCATCCTTTCAGCACCATTTGTGGCCAAAAGAGAACGTACATCAGTTACCAAAAGAATTGGCTGAAGCAGGTTTCTACTACACAGGTGAGTGTTTGCTTGTACGCTGTATCTATACACTGTAACAACTTAATATATTACTTTGAGGGAGATGGGTCTGCAAAGTAAGATATCACGGATAAACAATAGCAATACTCTTTGCGCCAATAGTAACTAGCTCAAACTCTTAAAGTAATACTAACATGGAATTGATCGGGTAAAACAAATAATATTTTAGAAATGTACGATATGTATGGAAAACAGATATAATTATACAATCTTTAACTGACGTATTTGCATGCTTGAATCAGGAAATGTATTTAGTGTATCTTAAAATACATATAAAACAAATTATGCCTGCTTTATAACCTCATACCAAGGTTTCAAATAAAATGTTTCCTGAAAAGATCTTTAACTTGTTTAAATCATGCAATATACAAAAATTTACATTTAAAAATCGACGAAAAGAGCAGAGACGTATACAAATTATGTTCTGAATACATTCTAATCAGCAGTGGACAACGGCAAATGAAAAACTTGAACGGCAGTTCTTCTCTAACAAGACTTTTCCCGTAACAACTATAATAGTGGTTAACAAGTTGCCAGTGTCACATTTATGTTTCTCGACAAATATTCATTGCAGTTTTAATGTCTTCCTACAATGTATTCAGTGAATAGAACGATGACGCGTTCGGGTTGTATTATGTTATGTATTGTTACCATAATACCATATGATTACGACTCAATAGTATACCTGTTGCTAGCATTCATTTCTCCACATGAAAATTTTTAGATCTAGCATTTTGAAGGAGATTCCCCTATGTTTACTGTGGTACATTTACCTACAATTAAGTTTCCTTGTTACTTTCAAAGGTTTCTATATGAATCTTTCTTTTGCTCATGTTTTGCTTTATTGTTGTTTCTTGAAAATTATGTATGTGTTTGAAACGTTTTTGCCATATTATATTTAGGAAAGGGAGACGAGGTCAAGTGTCACATATGTGATGTGACTGTTAGCAAATGGAAACCGTCCGATGACCCATGGAAAAAACACAGAAGTGTCTGTCAGTTTGTAACAACGAACGGACCACAAAATGGCATACAGGTAACAAAGGTATACACATATGCCTTGTAAATGATACGTTTGTGAGCGTATGTTTAGGAAAGAGCTGTGTTTAATTTCTTATAATATAAGTTACCTTTGTAAATAAGCTACACACGCCTTGCGCTCAGTCTCGTTGGTATACCACATTCTGCTAACTTTAACCTGTAATCGTTCAAAAACCTTATAAAACAAATATTAGAAATATACCAATATGCTTGTCTTCATATGAAACAATGCATGCTAATTTATTTTAAAGGGGGTTCAGTGAAATCAGTGTATTTTATTTTATCCTGAAAGGTGCTATATGGAGGAGGTGCTCAATCATCCACAGATCTGACCAACAATGGTAAGTGTGGCAATGTACTTGTTTAAAACCTTAAGCCAATCATACTTAAAAACAATAATATGATGACATTAGGGTAGCATAGAAAAATAATAACAACAATGTTTGGAGCATTATTATTCAATCGAAATGTTCTAATTTGTTTAGATTTATAGGAGTCTGCATGTTACTTTCTAGTTCCGATGACATATTTGATTAAATTATAAACTTGATGAATTGAAAGTAAATTATACAAGAGTGACTTGTGAATCGTTGTTCCATTGCACTGTGGTTTTACCTATGCACAGCTACCTCCCTTGACTTCCATTTGGATACAACTGGAGCAAGTTGGCCTAAGACGCATCTGTTTAGTAGCGCAATCGGTTATAGCGATAGTATTTCAAGCTTAAATACAGGGCTAGAATCTCGGTCAATCCCTGCATATATATTTTTTTAATTCAAGACACTATTGTTGAATATATTCTTTATTTCGTCTATATTACTCCCCATACAAGTCCTGCAATTAATGGGTTTCCTTTCATAATTGATTTATCAAAGCAATATTTATGCTAAAAAAACAGTTTCCAAAACTTTGTTACAGTTTTTGGCAGCGGCACGGGGATACTTAGTTGACAAAAATTGAGTATCATTTTGCATTTTGCTATACCGTTTTTTGCATCTTCATATCTGATATATGGACAATGAAACCATAAGTGCAACACGTCATATATTATACATATACAGTATGTGACTATTTGCAAATTATCCAACAGGTTCAACTGATCCACCTGTATGGTGTGCTGTACCCAACAATGATAATATGATATCAAGAAAAGAAACTGTGAGAGAGAACGAGAATATAGCAGGTGCCCGGGGTGGTGAGGTTTCCTGCCCAATACGTAGCTCAAGGTACACAGAGCAGAACGCACGCCGTGAAACCTACCTTCACTGGCCGCATCGTGCTGAGGTTGACATTGATTATCTAGTGAAAGCCGGGTTCTTTTACACAGGTAGTGGATACGTTTTCACATGAATTAAAAATTACATACATGTTTGATTGCAACACTGCATCTAGTTCACCCTCAACTATTCATAATGTTGTTTCAGTGCAGTATGACAACTTTTATGAACATTTATTTTAATAGAAAGTTTCGATAAACATAATTAAATAAGTATCTATTTTCAGCTTTAGCAATTGTTGTTTTTTCGAGAGATCCAAATTCATAAATGACAGCCAAATTACCAAATTAATTGAACACCGCCTTTGTCAGTTTTCTTTAGAATTATCATTATGATATTAACCAACTTCGTCTTCCAACAACTCAAAATATGTTTTATATGAACAATGTGAAACACAGATGGCCAATAGTTCTTCTTTAATCTTCTCTGGGCCGTAAAATTTGAATTACATACAAGTATATATCATATCGCGATGAAACTTGAATAATTGCAATGTATAGATGTAAAAGAGCCGTGTGTGCAAAGTTCAAAGGTCGATTCAGTGCAATATTGTCTGTGACATTTTGTTTGACCACAACATTTCAACCATTTATGAAACATGTAGTTTACCTGCATCACATACAGGAAGAGTGTAGAACACTGTTATATGATCACTGTGATTTATATATCAAGGTGAAACGTCAATCGAATACAAAGATTTCCTTGAAACATTTTACTCCATACCTTTTTAAAGTAAAAGATATTCTGATGACACTTGAGGAGTGTACCTGTATCACAAATTGAATGTTTACAATGTAAATTCCTTTATAACCCACGGAAGGTTTGCAATACACAATAATAAAGTCACCGGAGCATTTCCTGTTTAGTAAAATGTCATATGGGTGCAAAACATAATATGTAAACAGGCTCCTGATAAGCGGAGACAAATGTTTTGTTTCTCAAAACCAAACCTCTACTTTTATTTGCAATCCTGGAAGTGCTATTCAAATTTTATTCAAACAAATGTTCATCTTCAGACTAGTTAGTTTTTTGAATTCATATAGTTCGTAATTTCAACTATTACATTGATGTCTTACATTTATAGGAGAGGAAGATATTGTAAGATGTTTCTACTGTGATATCGGACTTGCGGAATGGAATCCAGATGATGACCCCTGGGTAGAACACGCCCGTCATAGTCCGGAATGCCCATATCTCAGGGACGAGAAGGGTCAAGATTACATCAATAACATTCAGACGCAGTGGGCACGGGTAAGCTGTCCTGTAGACTGATACATACACAAAGATGAATATGAATGAGGTTACCACTCAATTCTGAATGTCTGTTGGCACTATTTACTAAATCTAGTTATATTGAATACCAATGTATTTCGTCGATCTCAGAAAACAGAGGCTTAATTATAATATGCATCTCATGTATTACGATGAATTTGTTCAGGTTAACAAGCTGGTTTATCCCCGATTTACACAAAGGGGAGCGAGAAGAAGAACATTTGAAAACCTTCGTTGGCCAAGGGATGAAAGAGTACAAACACCCGAACAGCTTGCAGTCGCAGGCTTCTTTTACACCGGTGAGTTTGCTAGAAATGCTTCGCACACAAATCAAATTTGTTAATGTTTAGAGCAATACTGAATTTCAAGTTTGCCTTAAAGTGTTAATATTATCGTTGTATAATGTACAGGTTTTTACTTTTACGTCGATCACTCTATTGCTAGCTGCACGTAACACAGAACAATTTCAGCTAAAATACTGTTTTCCTATCACAAATGCAACTTGGTATTTTTCTCTAGTAACAAAGCACCGATATTACAAAGAAATAAAGCACCTTTATTAAAATGCAAATGTCTGTAGGAACTGACCCCAAACAATGTAAACATTTCACTGCATCATACAGTCAGATTGTTCACTAACTAATCGTCAGTGGCACTGGAGATCTAAAAACGGAATAAAACAGTGTTGTCTAAAGTGTTACAAAAGAATATAGAATGCATCAAAACAGACAAATGCATATCAAACCCTTTCAATTGATATCAATTTATAATTTCTGACTACAACAAATTAGTTTTGCTTAAAATAATAACTCATGCCAAACCTGCCAGAATTAATCACAAACTACTAACTAAGGCTACAGCCAACATCTGAGACTAACGATCAACGACAGAAAATATCGTCCTTTGTACGTATACGCCAATTATCACTTAAAATACAAAGAAAGAAAGCACAGATTAAAAAATTCTAGACCCAAATTAACAATTGTATATTATAGATGTATACTATAATAGATGTATATATTACATAATTAATATTAACAGAATTATATTAAAATATCCGAGTTAAGCAAGGTTTGTACACTTTGTTAAGCTCCAAACGTTGTTATCATATTTTTAACAGAAGTGGGAGTTTTCAGTTGTGATTGTCCGTCAAACGCAGGCATGTATTTGTTTTCTTATTAATATATTTGTAACCGTGATATTTTCCCTCAGGAGTTGGGGATTATGTACAATGCTTCTACTGTGGAGGGGGCCTGAGCTGTTGGGAACCCGATGATGACCCCTGGTTAGAACATGCGCATTGGTTCCCGTATTGCAAGTTTGTACTGAAGATGAAAGGGCGAACATTTATCCAAGTTTCTGATGCTGCAAATGTAAGTTCTATTTATTAAACTGTATACCAATTGTTTTATACGGAAAAAGGATATATTATATAATTCACAATACTGATTGAAAATGTTGATCAAAATATTGCTTATATGTGGGTGTATTATTTTCTATTGAATGATTTCCAAAGCAGCTATTTTTTTCATTAGACTGCAGGCGAAGCACCTATGCTACAACCTGCTGCAGGACTGACTTGTGAGGGTGAGTGCATCAATTTGCCATCATTTTACAAAAGATCAAAACTCAACATTATTAGCTTAAATAGGTTTAAAAGGAATAACACTAAGCACATGTCATCAATGTAAACAAGGTCTTGAAAATACATTTGATACTGTGATGGGAATGCACAAGCTAGCTATATTGTATTCTGTGGCCATGATAGTAAAAGTAAGCATTATGCATACCTCAATGTTAGGAATAACTATTTGTTAACAAGAAATATATACACTATCATATGATACTAAAACTTTGTTCAATATAAATTCTTGAAATATGTTTACCTAAGACAGGATGTTGAAATGATGGTAGGACGTTAATGTTGTACTTGTATATACTACTGTCACGACAGGAATACAATATGTGTATTCTGTATACATGCTTCAATATTGTCCTAGAACTTTGTTTATTTTACACGGACTATGAATAATGGTTTTTACTTATCAGTAAAAGAAATTATTGTTTTTTATGAACATTATTCCAGATTATGTTTTCTTTGTAGAATGTATAAATTACGAAGCAGTATGAGTTCTATCTGTATATCTTTTACCTGTGAGATTTATTTGTGTATACCAGTTAGCAGTATGTATTCTTTTTGCGTGCTAGTTAGTTCTCCGTTTTCCTTTTATGTGCTAGTAGGCAGTATATCTTTTCATAACCAGTTATATGCTAAATATTAGCAGCATTGAACATTCTGAATCTGGTATTGAATTAGACCAAATTTCATATTTTTATCGAAATGCCCGAGTACTCGTTATTGTCCGGTATTGTCCTATCAACGTTAAAATATCAAATATTGATTAAACATTGTCATAAACTTTATGCATTTTGAAAACGTAATTAAAACGTCAAATTGCCTTCAAATCACAAACGAAAGGATATATAGAGGGAAACAAGTGTAGAAATTTAGTTAAGAACCTTCGGCCAACACGACTGCGACTGATTCTCTCGGGCGTTTTTCACAGACATTTAAATATTTACTTGCAACATGAAGAGTTTTTCCACCAAACCATGTTATTTAATCTATTTTAGTCGTTGATTTCAACAATTGGTATTACTTATTTAAGGTAGCTTTCTGTTGCCTTTTTGTAACGTCGGAGGATTTACTGAGATTTAATAGCTATGACTGGATACCATTGTTAAACTGAATATATCCACGAAACAATCTATATCTATTCATTTACTCGCGGTCGACGCATAAAGCGTAAACTACATGATGTGAATTCAAACGAAATTTTCAAAATCCTCAAACCATTTCACAGATACAGCCGTATTTTTGGTATGATACATGTTGTTCGGTGTCGGTAGCACATGTAGTAGAGATGTTGTTTATATCTGTTTGTGTTGATACTGGGTTAACTTATAGTCCGTTGTATTTGCAGCATAGCAGTATAGTGGCCTGTACATACTAGATTACATTGGGTATTTTATTGTTTTGCAACTTAGAAATATAATGTCTGTCTACATGCGGTACAGTACTAAGATGTAGTTAGGGACATGCTGTAATTAGTTATTAAGACTATATTTTCCTTGTATATGCTAGACAGAATTGTCTATTAAGTGTATAATACAGGTAGGAGTGTGCTAGAAATCTGTATGTAAATATTATACAATTATGGACTTTGGTGCTGGTGAACATGATGTGATATGAACCTGAAAGAGTGATATTGACCGAGGCGAAACTGTTTTATTATATGCTTCAACAATAAAAGGTTCTGATTTTCGTTCGCGAGCCTCCGTGTAAAATTTAGCCAGGTTTGAATTCAACAGTTCAGCATTGTAGCTTTCGAAGGCATCGTCTAGGATCTATTTCTTAAGATAAGCATGGAGGACACGCACTGCGTGTTCAATGGCCTTTTTATGTTAACAGCATCTTTATACTCGAAAGTTTTGGTAATTTTCTGATGTAACGGAGGTGAAACGCTCGCCAGCGCTACGACAAGTTCCGGGGAATTTCCTTATAGGCTTTATTTAGAAATCGATATTCACCGAATAACAAGCCACATTAGTTTTTGAGGACTGGTCACGTGTATAGGATCCGATCAATGTGATTGCGAGAAATGTTCATGCATATAATAAACTAATTTAGGGTATGAACTCCTTGTTTTTGTTTAAACATAGTTATTGCCCAAAGTTATCAAAGGATTTGAACATCGTAATCAGTTGTTTGCTAGATAGGAGTATGCTTGTGTGCATGCTAATTAAAATATAGATGCTATTTGTATGATGTCTATTTAGTTTCTATAGGGATGTACTATGTGCGCTACTTTTTGTTATCCATGCACAAATGAATAAGGACTATGTATTACATGTTAATGCCTTACAAACTACATTTACATAAATATAATGATCTCTTTGTTTATTCAGCTTAGAATCATGACATCTTTGATTCATCATTTTGACATACGTCAATTCTTGTAATATTCCATGCAAATCAGAATATCAATTACAAAATTTTAAGGAACATTTAACTTAATATATTATCAAACTAGAAACGCTAAGTATTACTTTTCACTGAACCCCAATCTGCGTCACACTGTGCTCGATATGTTATAGACGACATACACCCGAATGGAAACACGACTGAGTGGACCGAGGACGAGGAGGAAATATATCAGCGTAAGTTGTATTTTACTTAAAACGGATTGCCTTGATGATGGCATAGATTGATATGTCCACAGACGTTTGACTTTTAAAACACTGTGGACGCCTTTAGTTACTGTACAACATGAAATAAATGTCCTAATTGATATATATATATATATATATTTCATAATTCTGCTAACCTAATAGGTAAATTAAAAATACCCCCTACACACACACCAAATCATGTCTTTGTGTTTATTTTTTCTATTTTAATAGTTGTTTTCAACAACATAAATTTGCTTATTAACGTAGCTTTCAACTGACGTTTTAATACATTGCATTTACTGAGATTTGCTAGCTATGACTGGATACCATTGTAAACTGCATATATCCACGAGCAAATCTCTATCTATTCATTTACTCGTATAAAGCGTGGGACACAAGTAGGTATTAAGTCACCAAGTACACAAACCTATGTTTCAGAAGGATTTTTGTACTATAATCCTGATGAAAATAAACTACATGATGTGAATTCAAAGATCCTCAAATCATTGGACAGATACAGTTGTCATCAACTCCAGGATATCAGTCTTTGATACGGACTTTATTTTAGTTCCGGTATGATGAATGTTGTTCTGTGTACGTAGTAATAAAGGTGTATGTTGTCATTTGTGTTTGTGTTGGAATTATTTATAACCGTTTATATCTACAACGTAGCAGAATAGTGGCCTGTACATACTAGATAACTTTTTGTATTATACTGTTTTGGTAGTTAGAATTATATTATCTGTCTAAATGTAGTAATAGTTAGGAACGTCCTGTAATAAGTAATTAAGACTATATTTACCTTATTCATGCCAGGCAGAATGATCTAATCTGTGTATACTAGTGGTAAAGGTTTTCAGCATGCTTTATGTGAATATAATAGATTAGGGTATATTGCCTTTGTAAATACTAATCAGTTGTTTGAATTATGTTGTGTGAACATGTGCAAGATAAAACTATGTTTCTGTATATGCTAATTAAAATATGAAGAGTAGTATATTTTGTGTTGTGTAGTTGTATATTTGTGTTATATAATATTATATTTGTGTACTTGCTATATACAAATATGTATTCTTTGATTTTGTTAGTAAGGCGGATTTTTCTGTCGGTATTATTGGTGTGGACATGGTTGGATGAAATATTGATGTACATGGTAAATGTAGCTACATATGTTTACAATGTCTTAATGTTTATTATTGGGGCCCACCATATACGCTAATGAGAATTTTGTAATCCGTGTACAAATGAAAAAGGACTATATTTTATATAGTTATGCCATTTAACTTTTACACTCTTTGTACATTTAAATATAGATCATGACATCTTTGTCTCATAATATTGTCATAAGTCATTCCCAGTAATATTCTATGTAAATGAAAATAATATGAACCAATATCAAGTTTTAAAGGCACATTTTGCTTAGTATATTATGAAACTAGAGATACTATGTGTTTTTTCTCTAACCCACTATTTGAGTAACACTGCTCGTTATTTTATAGACGACATACCCCAGATTGGGAACACGACTGAGTTGATCGAGGATGAAGAGAAATAAATCTGCGTAAGTTGTATTTTATTAAAAATGGGTTGCCTTGATGATGGCATAGATTGATACATCCATAGATGTTTGACTTTGCAAACACTGTGGACGCTATTAGTTACTGTACAACCTAAAATAAATGTCCAAACTGAATAAAAAATGTCCATAATTCTGCTTGTATTATAAGGAATTTAACACTGTCGACAGTTGGATGCAAATAAAAAGCATGCAACGAAACATCACCTGCTTAGAACTTGTTTTAATCTCACACTTTCATTCTTGTAGGTCTTTTCAGTCGTACCTGTATAAGTCATTTTTCATCTCGAATGTTGCTTTATCGATTTTAAATAAATACGAAATAAAACCAATCTAAGATGATAGCGAATGTTAAAGTCTTTGTGCAGATATTAAATAGTAAAGATATATGTATGTATTTGACCGTGATATATTGAATACTAAATATGTCACTTTTCATAATATTCTTCGATAATTTGTCCACCAATCATCGCAACGAAAGCGGTCGGACAAAACTTTTTAATCAATAAATCAATATCATATCCTCTTTCAATGTTTCCCTTACATTCTTTTCAGGAGTAGCTGGCGTTTGAAATTGTGTCCGTGTTCACATATTTGACGAAGGAGATTGAAAGTTAATTCATCGGCTCCAGTCAAGGGTGTTCCATTGACAAAGGTCGTCTTAAGCTTAATTTGTGCTCGGAACGTCATGAAAAGTTTTGACCTGACTAACATCACATCACTATATCAATTTAAACAACTTGTAAGAAGAGCTGTAAGTGACATCATGTTACTAGACACAAGTAGAATCTCTACCTATGTCAACGCAGGTGATAGAAAATACAACATCCTACTCTGCCAACATAGAAAATATTCAAGTAACTTCGAGTTTAATCTACACAGAAATCATCTTACTGTATCACCAACTTGTAACCTGTGGTAATGTCCATGAAACAGTACATCATTATTTTTTCATTTTTAACAATATGATGAACCACTTAAAACCCTCATGGATAGATTATTTGATGTTAATCACAATTACTACACTCTGGATGTACTTCTATCTTGCTGTGGTGATTGTGATAAACAAACCAATGTAAATATATTTGAATGTTCTGCCGAGTGTGTCAGAGCTACACATAGATTTCAACATATATAATACATTATATATTTCTGATTTGATATTATGGCTCTTAAATATGAAAACCATCTGTTACGACTGTTATTCAACATAATAAACATTGTGTGTCATCATCCTTTCCTTTTCCTATGGCCGCCTTTCCCCCTTTTGATCTGATAGGGATACATTTTGTATGTTTTGTACGCTATGTATCATTCATCATAATTATTGCATAGTGTTGTTTTATTTGATAGAATAATTACTAAGCAAGGACAATCTCATAATGGTAGACCAATTAAAAACCTCAGTTTGCATATATCTGTTTACTCTCATTTTTGTATTAGATGTCGTAGTCATTTGGATTAAATAACAGGCAAAGCCTATATAAATTCTCTCCGTCAAATGGCCAAAGTGGAATAAACAATGAGACATAATATTTTAGGCATGTTACAAATGAAATAATGAACACAAAATAATTCATATTACCACAAGGCTAAGGGGAAGTAACTTATGAAGGAAACATCTCACACACCTCATACACACTTACACACACATACAAGTACATGTACAAATACATTTATTTCAGCATATATATTTACACTATTCTAGATAGATATTGGCAGGCTTACACCAAAAGTCCATGTGCATATATTGCACAGGTCACTGCTACCAACAACTGTTACAATTATAGAGTGTAATTATTTACAATGTTAAGATAAGTACACGTAATAGACAGTAGTCATGCTCAACTAGAATCTCCTGGATGTAATATAGAATATATAGTATATTTTTGTTTAACATCGTGGCTTTAAGTCATATAAAAATTAAAACGACGGGATTTTCCAATAGAAATATGCACATTATCAAGTATTCGTCTATTTGTAAACCCATCACAATCAGGACAGCCCTGGAGAAGAATGTTTTAATCAATATGACTTTGGTTTCCATAACTATTAAGAGAAGTGAACAATGTAATTATTTGATTATTAAAAATAGGATATTCCAAAAAGTAATGAGATACTGTTTCATGTTCAGCAGAGCAGGTACAAGCGGGACTATTAGTCAGATGGTCATGGTGTAAATCATAATTTAAATTACTGCAAGAGTTTTGAAGTTGACATAGAATAATACTTGCTCTTCGGTTACCTTCTGTTTTGAAAATTGAAACAGATTCACTATCAGAAATAATATCTTTATTCAAATAATTTTTTAATGCTGCAGGAGAGGGAGAATTAAGAAGATCAGAATTTGCAGTGTTAATTTTGCGGCACATTTGAGGGAAAAAAATGTCGAAATAGTTACTAGTTTTACATAACGGTGAGTTGAAAAGCCTAGTTTGTCTCAGAGGGTAGGGGTTATCATTTGATTATTAATAAATGGATTTAAAACATTTTGTAAGTATTGAGGTGTCTGCCAATGCATAATTTTGTACATCATTACATGTTTGTGTTTATTTCGTCTTACAAATAGTGTTTCCCAACCTAGTTCATTGTATAGTTTGTCCTGTGATACCCCAATGTTATTATCCTAGCTGCTTCAAATTGTACAGATTTAAGAGCATCTTTTGCCTGTTGTGTACAATTATCCCAAATAATATCTGCATATTTCAAAATTGGCCTAATAAATCCCACATATATTTTAATTAATGATTTTCTATTGACTTAAGTTTTGACATGGAGAAGAATATCAAGTCTATTGTAAGCTTTTGTTTATATATTCTGTATGTGCTGTTTCCATGTTGCATCATCTTGAAGTGTAAGTCCTAAGTGTTGATGTGATGATGTGTCTATGATTTGGCTTTTTTGGAAAAATAGTGGGATGGGATGGGTGTCTTGTTTTCTAGAAAATAAGAGGGATTTTGTTTTACTTGTATTGAATTTAATGTCCCAAGTAGTTGCCCATTCACCTATGTTAGTAAGATCAGTGTTGAGAGATTGTGCGGCCTGTGCCGGGTTATCATCTATAATTACATACAGAGAAGTGTCATCAGCAAAAAGTTTGATATTGGTGGAAACATTAGTAGTGCTATCATTGATATAGAGAAGAAATAATATTGGTCCGAGGGCAGATAATTTTCAAACCACAAAAGTAGATTTCCATTTATACCATATAATTTCAATTCAAATAAAAGACTTTCGTGCCATACTCTGTCGAAGGCTTTACTGATATCACAAAAACAAATTGAAGCTCCTTTCCTTTATCCATATCGCTTGCAATTTCATTATGAACAAACTAAAGCTGATTGACAGTAATATCACCAGGTATAAAGCCAGACTGATGCTTAGTAATAATATTATTCTCAATCAAAAAGTTGTATAGATATTTAAAAACATTTTTTTCCATTATTTTACTGAAGAATGATGTAATTGAAATTGGTCGGTAATATAACATCATTAGATGAGCCATTTCCTTTATTAATAGCATTTACATTTGTTTGTTTCCATCTCAAAGGTATTATACCAGACTCTAGTGTCTTATTGAATAATAACATAAGAGGTAATTTGAGAGAAGCATGAAGCTTTTTCACAATTTTAGGAATAACACCATCAGAGTCTGGGGGTTTATTAGTGTTGAGTATATTAATTTGATCGGAAACATCTTGTTCAGTGATATGAATGTTTGATGGTGAATGAGGGGCATTGGGTTTTGCTGGTTAGGGTAATTCGAGGTCAGGTGTTGATGCAGAAATATTTGCGAAGTGATGGTTAAGAAGCTCTGCTTTGTCAGTTAGGTGATGGATTATTTGGCCGTTGGATACAAGTGGTGGAATAGAAGATGACTTATTAGAAAAATTGGTAATAGATTTAGCTATCTTCCACCATTTGTCTGGAGTATACACGTTATCATTTAGTGACTTTTCAAGATTTTTCATATAGTTTGCTTTTGCCTCACGGATAAGGTCAATAGTTTCATTTCGTAGCTGGGTTGTAAATTGTTCCCAATAATGGGGATTATTTGTCTCATTTTCAATCTAATTGTGTTATTCATCCATGGTTTATCATTTGGGCGCACAGTTATTACTTTTGTAGGAATGAATCTATTGACCTGCTCCGTGATTGCATTGCCTGTAGTGCTATTAAAGTATTAGCATCCTGAATTGAAGACAAATTCAACCAATCAATATCAAATAAGGCATTGTTCATTCTATCAAAGTCTGCTTCTTCATATTTTAAATTAGTATTTTTATAGCTTACTTATTTAAATACAGAATAAGAAATTGAAGCATGTACTGAGGAGTGATCACTGCAAAATGGTGGAGATACATGAGTATTTTTAACTATGTTTTGGTTATTAGTAAAGATAATATCAATGAATGTGGCACTGTCAGGTGTTATTCTTGTGGGTTCATTAATAAGACTAAGTAAATTATGTTTGATAAGGAGTCTTGATAAGTGATCAATCAGCGGATGATTTAACATATCAATATTGATATCACCTGTCAGTACCCCATCCAGTGAAGTATCTGTAGCTCTGGTCAACGTATTTTTTAATTTATTCCAGTATTCAACATTACTTTCTGGTCTGTATAAACATAAAAGAAGTAATATATGATTATTAACTGATACTTCTAACCATATAAGGTCAACATCATCCTTTTCTAGGTCCATTCGCCTATTCATAACAATAATATCCTTGTGATAAACTATAACCCCATCCCCCGGACCAGTAGTTCTATCTTTTCTATGAGGATTGGAATTGAAGGAGTGCATCTGAATGTCAAGGTTAGATATTGAAGGGTTTAAATGAGATTCTGTTATACAGACTTTATCATTATCCTCAAATTCTACTTCTACCAAGGCTGTCTTGTTTCTGAGAGACCTTACATTCAAATGAACCAAGGTTATAGTTTGTACTGGCCCCGGATTACTTTCAATATCACAACACAAAGTTAGCACAACAAAATGTGAAGTCAGAAGAAAACATATGTTATCAAAATATACAGATCTGTTTTCAAGTATTATACTTATGAAGTGAGAGCCAAGATGTAGATTTAGAAAATGCGCTTTGAATAACCTAAAAAACAGATTTAGACCATACGAATTTTACACAAAAATTACCCATTGTCGATTAATGAGATGAGGACTTGGTAGGTTCTGTTGATCTTCCAGTTGCTGATAGTTTTCTTAACGCGATATATGGATTCCAGTTGAGCATGGCTGTATAATAAATATGGGACAAGCACAACACAATAATTACATACACACACACACACGCGCGCAGTTTTCATCAAAACACATGGTTAACAAAGCAGGAAACAGATGTGACTCGTCACAATCTAAGTGCCTGGGACGCTTGAAGACACAGGGACTTGAACATTTATATATAATAAGTGTGCACGCACCTGGTAAACATTCATTATACACACCGATTACTTGAAAAAAAAATGAAATAAAAGGATACAGCCAATAGATCTACTACTCAGTTTCAGACAGAGGATATTAAATATGTAATGTAAGTTTTTGTTTCGTCCGATAGGAAAAAAGCTGTAGATTATTGTATTTTTGAAAAATTCGCTAGTGGATTTACTGGGAGAAATGGAAAGTCTTTATAATTGAGACCCAATGAGTCATGCACGTGAAAGACGACGTGACTGTAAACGTAGTGATAAATAGATATATAGAAAATGAATTGGGGATTATATTATTCACAAGATAAGATTTTACGATAAATATGCATAGGTAAGTTTCGGAATAACCACACAGCATTAACTTTACATGAATAATTTGAACCAGGATATACATTAAAGGTATGTTGCTATAAATACATTGACGGGGGCAACTTTATACATGTAGGTCTCACATGGGTTGTAAACATTGATTCAAGTGTAAAGTGTAATGTGACATCATTGCAGTTTTTGGACAATGATGCTCTGAAAATAAATGTATTGGTCGTTATATATATATATAGGTTGATTTAGGCTAGGTCATCATGACTTACTGACATGAGAGTATATCAACGAAGACATGCGATGCACAAATATTTGTTAATAAAAGATTGAGATGAGTACTTTATCGCTGATGAGTTTGTTTGTTTTTCAAGGGATATACTATATATACATTATATTGGTGGTACATGTATATAGTATTCACCGTGTAGATAACACACATATGCATGCATTCCAAGTGGTAATACATTAATTATATTCTATAGATAAATATAGCCACGTAATTAATTGATGCACATGGTATAAGATATACATACTTGGTGTATGAGTACATATACATACACGATTCTGCTATAAATACAAGTACATCTTTCCAGTTAGAATGCATCAATTGTGTACATTATAATTTATACTAAAGTCAAGTTACACAATGTGAATGACTTGACAGCAGCAGGATGACATACACATGAGTCGGTTAGAATAATACATGTAAACATTGCCTGTAACTAGGGCATAAGTTTAATAAGAATATATTCAAAACAGTATACATGTATACATAACATTATAGTCATTCCACATATCAGATAGAATTTTGTTATAATTTTAATGACCTAATGCACTTTAAGCACATGGTGCACACATGTACATGCACATTGCTGCCCTTATAGACATTGCAGTTCTACAATAAGGTTGTTGTGGTTTTTTTTATCTATTTTCACACAAATAGTATGAATTCAACATAAAAAAAAATCTGTGTATTCAGTTAAAGTGTGCTATTCACTATCAGGAACAATCGATATCAATGTATTGCAAATATCACTTTTCTACCAAAAACTACCTTACAAACCATGAAAATACTAAAATATTTTTTGTTGTTGAGGTTTTGGTGAAAACAGTCAACCTTTATAAGTTGATTATGTTTGTATTTTCTGGGCCATGATGTTGAAAATATTCACCAGAATTACGAGGGCAGAAAGCTGGACTGCTGCAACAAGTCAGGACACAGATGTGTATTTTCAAAAGTTTGGTTACATATACAATCAACAAGGCCTCGATATGTACCTATGTGACCTCTAGGGGTCGTTATCTAATGGTTAACCAATATCAAGCAGTATTGACTGTCTCTGGTCTATCAATATAACGACAGGTAAACCCTGAAGAGAAAATAGCATTCCCTGAGTGAAGTGTTTCTATTTTTAGTTCACGTCTATAATATTTATACCGGTAGTTAACTTTACTGCCGTTGTACGTCAAAGTAGATTACATGTTTTAGGACTGGTTGTTAATTGCTATTTGACATTTGAAGATGCCATGGATGTCTACTCGAAAGGTAACAACTGGTTTTTTTTATTAATTATTAGTTATATCATTAAATGCGTGGTTATTTGAAAGGGGGCGGGGGCAATATTAACAGTGTAATCGAAATGTTTGGTTTCATAGCTAGTTGAAATGTGCTTGTCAATACAACGAACAAAGCATTCAATTTCGATAGAAATGCCTCAATTATTTTACTGTGAATTCATATAACTTTCGGTTTTGAGGGAGTAATTGTACGTCCTGGTGCAAACGTAAGTTGAAATGTTACGCTGTATGCATATTTGAATAATACACATGTGTAAGTCTAAGGTAATGTTAAATGCTTGTACAAATATTAACCATGGAATAAAGCTATTCACAAAACTTTTTCTATGCTTACTGTATACATATAGGTATGTTGATATTCAAAGAATCAACACGTCATGTCTATTTATAAACAATCTGCTTAACGGATAATAACTACAAATGTGTTTAAACAAAATAATTTGTGTCTAGTTCCACATATAAAACCAGTAGAAATACAAGAATATAGCAGAAACGGGCACTGGCAATGCTGATATCTAACGTAAGTATATCGTTTTTCCTGTAGTCATATTTAGTTAGTTGGGTATGTTCCGGTGCTTTTTAAAAAAACATATAGCATTAATGAATATACAGAACGTATCTATACAACAGCGTGCACATTCATGTACTCGTACAGTATACTGCATCATTAATCGTTGAAATACAATGTATTACATATCAGAGCCTAATATACAGAAATATGCTGAAGCTAAGTATGTAATCGAACTTTCAGTAATCTGCTTATTCCGGTGTATATATATTTGTCTGAAAGAGTACCTTCATCGTAAAAATAGTTTTGATATGATAACATCACAAGATTTATTAATCTCCATATTTTAACATATTGACAGATTGTATAGAACAAAATCATCAGAGGGATTTGTGGTATTTTCTTTTCAGATATTCTTTTTTAATTTACCACATCATTATATTCAAATTTGCATATGTTTTCTAAATGTGTATATCTAAATTCATGTTACATATTATGGAACACCTTAATATATATCACACATATATGATACATGTATAATAAATAATATGAAAAAAAACTTACCAGTTATGCCATTGAGTCCTTCTTGTTTTCACAAAACAGACTCATGTGTAATTTACAAACGTAAATATGACGCAAGATCATGATAAATCTATTTTAGAATTAGGATGATTCATATTGATCAATATGAGACATTTTCAGACAAACATATCACGAGTCAAGATGACAGTTTGTTAGGATACAAATATAAAATATGTACACAAAACATAGTGTTCATCTTTATCCCTGATAGATGTTTTCTTTTCACTTCCACGAAATTCAATAACGAAAGTGTGACGTCATAAAACAAAAAAATGAATTAAATGAGTCATTTTCTAAATTAAGATATGTTATCATTCACTATAGAAAACACAAGTCATCGCACAAATTGGTACATACCCTTAGTTTATCTTTTCCTAATTTCTTCACACTAATATGTTTATTTACAATTTGACACATTTATTATTGTATCACATTGAGTATGGCATAAATAACGCATTATAAGTATATTTTACGTAAATATCGTACAAACTTTAATGATTAATTACGTGAGTACCTACAGAGAACACTGATAGATTTTTTGTTTCCACTCAGATTTAACCATATGAAATTGTTTTAGATAAATGCACTACATTGACAGAAGTTTAGTATATATCTTTTGTGTTATCTCCCTTTCGTTGTTGCAGTATACAGTCCTCTCTACCATGTTCGGGTATCTTGTATGGTCACCTCTGTGACTAACATTATTTGACTACTTTAGGAGTAAATAGAGGAAGAATAAGCACCATGAGCGATGCAATGCTTCATTTGCGCTGTTGTGGATATTCTTCCATGCTAATAATTCGAGTGTGAATGATCATTTAAATATTGATTGTAGAAAAGGCAAACATTTCATATATATTGGCCTAAACAGAACTTGTCAATTTTGTCTAAGATATATCATTTTTCAAAGCCACCATTAAAAAGCTCACTGAACCTATACATTGCAGATAAACACATAATAGCAATGTGTAGGTGATCCTTAGTGTTACTTTGTATAGTGTATCAAGCTGAAACAGAAGTTTATGTTGGTTGTGTCAAAATATATTCCATCCACATTATTGTAATTCAATTCATACCTCTGGTAGAAAATTTCAGTAAAGCAAAACCCCTCATTGTTATAACCATACATTGAATTACATTAAAACATACAGCTATTTTTTCTTTCTAAATATTATCGGTGAATGCAGGGGCAATTTATTTTCGATTCTCGGTAATGTGACATTGAACTGTATGTATTTTTAACAAAGGCTACTCCCCAATACACTAAAAAAACATAAATTTTGTAGTAATGAGAACCTTGAAGAAAAAAGTGGAAATCTGAAAGACGTTTTGTGTATAAGCACTCTAACAAAGTCAAACGAAAACAAAACAATACAACCTACAGAGAATAATGGTCATGTATGTATATCAATGAATGATTGGAAATTTTTACTATATGATTCCAAATTTATAAATATTTACTTAGTCGACAAAAATAACATAAATGTAGCACATAACACTGCTGATGTAGAAGGTATCCAGTCTTGATTGCTGCTTGTACATCGTCACATCGTAAAATTATGGTTTCAATACAAATTAATTACAATATATATAAACTTTACCTCTGCTACTACACATCATACGATATATGTATAAATGCATAACCCCGAGACATAAAATCAATCATGATGGTCGACTAAAGTCATAAAATCCCTTTATAAAGTAAATCACCAGAAACGTGCAGAAAAGAATGACCTTTTTATTTTGAATTGTTGTTACTGACATTTGCAGCTAATCACACTTTAAACGACGAGTCCTCGATATGCACCAATGTGACCTCTTGAGATCGTTATCTAAATGTTGACAGGAAAACCTAAAGAGAAAATGGTATTCCCTGAATGAAGTGTATCTATTTTTAGTTCACGTCCAATGGAATATTTACAACGGAAGTTAATCTGAACTACCTTTCTGCATGTATGTCGAAGGAAATTGCATCTATCAAAATTCGTTGTTAGTTGCTACCCAACGCTTGAACATGTCATGGATGCCTACCCGAAAGGTAATAAATGGTTTTAATAATTCTCAGTTGTATCATTCAATAAGCGTGATTTCAATCACACTGTATACATAGGTTAATAGAAAGAGAAAATAGGCAATAATAAAATGCAACTGAAATGTTACATTTTTAGCCGCATTAAAATGAGCTTGTTAAAATAATGTATAAAGCTTTTGACTTCGATAAAACTGTCTCAATCACTTATATATGAGTACATATAATTTTCGGTTTTGAGGGGGTAGTTGTACTTCCTGGTGTGAACGTGTGTTTTGATATTACGCTGTATGCACGTTTTAATTACACACATGTGTTAGTCTAAAGTAATGTTAAATATTTGAACTAATATTAATAATGGAAAAAACTATTTACAAAATATGTTTTTATGCTTACTGTATATTATGAATTTCTTTTAATGCGATCAACACGCCATGTCTATTTATAAACAATCTGCTTTTCTGATAATCAAGACACATGTGTTCAAACAAACATTTGTGTATCTAGTTCCACGGGTTCATGTACAGATGCAAGAATAGGGTGGAATTGCTGATATTTATTGAAAGTATATGGGCTTTTTTTATATATTCTTCATATAGTCATATATATGGTTGGGTAACTTCCAGTGCATTTTATACTTTAGTGCGCATTATGTTGTTTGGTTGCTAAGCTGTGTCATTCAAATTGATCATAAATACCATACAAAAACGGTTCAACGCTTAAAATTTTGTCTGAGGGAATGCCTACAGTGTACATCGTTAATAAAGTCTGCCTGTATGTAAAACCGGCCAATTTTTTTTATAGAAAAACGTGTTGATTAATAACATCCAAAAATTAATAAATATAAGCATATTAACATATTAATTTTGTAGAGAGCAAATAAACCAGAGGGAATGTTTATTATTTCCTGTTCAGATTTGTTTGTTTAACTTTCTATATCACTTAAAATAAATTCAAATAAATATATATTTCTAATCATATGTGTCTAAATGCATATGATCAACAGAACTTAAACAAACATATATATATATATATATCAAACATATATTTAACATTTACAATATAAAATAAATAATATGAGAAATCTTACCAGCATTGCCATTGAATCCTTCCTGTTTTATTACAAAAACCCAGGTGTGGTTTAAAAAAATATAACATTACGCAAGATCCGTATGTTTGTTAGAGCTAGGATCGGTGAGGTATTTAAATTGAAGATTAATCTGTATTGACAAAGTTTATCCATTGTTATATGAACCTGGACGAGTAAAGATAACAGGTTGTGAGGACAACAATTAAGAATATCAAGAAATGTTCACAAAACAATAGTTTGACTTCATGAACATCAAATGAAATTGCAAGCCATAACAATAATTAAAACTAGTCATCACACAAACCGATATAAATCATACTTTTATCAATGAAACTTAGATTTTCGTCATACATATATGTATATTTTAAAATTCTAAACATACAAGCAAAACACATAATTCAATATTGCATTTGTACTTTTAAAAAATATGGCAAAAACTACAATGTAAATACCATTTTGAGTATCATTGCAATGAATATCGAATAAACATAAATAAAAATTACGTAAGTAGCTACTGATAATAATGAGGGCTCATAATTTTCTAGCCAATTTAAACTACATGTAATTGTGTTAGTTTAGTGGACTATATGATCAGGAGTTTTGTTTAACCTAACTTTTTGTGTTATCTCCCGTTATTTGTTGCAGTGTGTTTATATAAATTAATCTGTGAATAACTTTATTTGTCCACATCAGGAGTAAATAGAGGCAGGAAAAGCACTATGATTCATGCAATGCTTCATTTCCGTTGTTGTAAGTATTTTTTAATGTTGATAATTTCACTGTAAATGGATATTTAGACTTGAATTGAAGCAAAATGCAAACATTTTATATGCATATAATATTGGTACCTTATAATATAATAAGCATCATTTATTAATACCTCTACTAGAAACAATCAGTAAAGCAATCTTTTGATACAATATCATCATGATCTTAAACATACATTTTATATCTGACAATATTCTGAATTTAATATGTGATCATATAAACATGTATGATTAAAGCCAGTGATCTAGTTATGTCATAAGATATGTAAAGGTTCTATGCATATATATAATGGTATATGTCGTTTCTGTTACCACAGGGAAGTTTATACGAGACATCTTTATTAAATAATAAACGGTAAGAAAAGGGGAAATTACGCAGATTAAAGGGTTGAATTGTTAGATTGTGAAAATAAGTTGATTGTTACAAATAGCTGAAATTTGTGTAGCATCTTCTGTTATCATTTTTATTATTATTTCGGGTGTGTATTTTCCCAAAGATATCATAAAATCAACCAATGAATGAGTTAATATTGAGATTTGTTGTTAATGCGGGAAAGTTATTCAAACATTTTTCTTGTTGTTAATACAAAATATCTTTTTTCATTTTTTGATTTGTCTGCTATTCGTTTTAACAAAAGCAATGTTAAGGTCTTTTAAATCCTTTATTTACAAAAGTGTTGAATATACTCTTTAGCGAGTAGTATATCAAATGAAATGCGCTTACAAAGTAGATGCATTTGTGATATTCAGGCCACGACAGTTTCCATACATCATGCCAAGTGTGAGGGGCGATAAAAGGTACGTTACCTTGTACATGTAGCAACAACTTCCACATGATTTATGACAGTGCAAATAACATCGTAAGTTGATTTACATTGATAAGTGCAGCTTTATAATCAATGTTAACAGATTCATCATACGTGGAGGGAATGGAATAATAAGAGCCTAAAATTAGTAAAGGGAAATATAATAGAGTGTTTAAATAGTTTGACGTAGCAACCCAATACAAATACAAATGATGAATGAATTCTCAAACACACATACACTTATAACAAAAACTCATCGTGATATCTGCAGGTATATGATAAGGAAAGTTAGTTATTTTTGGGACAGTTAGGATACTGTTTAAAGAAAAACATACTGCTGCTTGGGTTGAATGTAGTAAATGAATATGTATAGATTGATACAGATCTAGAGTGTAGATTGAAAGAGTGGGTTTCCTTCACAGAGGACGGCGGGGTTCAGTTCAGTTCAGTGCAGTTCAACTCGAACAACCAAGGTGGAGTAGGAAATGGTCTGGGGTGGATGTTAAGGCATCTGTGCTGTAGCATTCTAGTGAGGTGGCACTATAAATAAAACTGTTTGAAGCTCGGTCGGACTACAAACAGAACTTAATACATCTCCAGCACACACGCAGGCATATGCATACACACAGGGATATATTAGCATAGTGACATATACCTAGTACATGTAGTTAGCGCCTGATATGGCATCTCCTGCGAATTCCTCAAAATTGTATTGATTGTATAAATTGTATATATATGTACTGTAAAGCGCTTTAGGGTGGGTTATTCTAGTTAGATAGGGCGCGATATAAAATGTTGTTTATTTAATTGGAAATAGGAGCAAACATGTTTTTATTCAGTTATATTGGTCAATGATATTACAAAGGTTGTAATGCTTATGTCTAGCTGTAATTTTCCTTGTTTACTTGATATAAAATTAAAATAAAAACAGGTTTCCGATTAAAGTTGTATTCATATTTCGTTACACTAAATTCTTGCGTATGTTTTGGTTCGACGGTTTGTAACTAGGTTAAATCCGGTTGTTTTCATTTCAGCCTTGGGGGTATACTTGGAATACTAGAAGTAGAAATACCTCTTGCACGACCGAAATGTAATGCCCGGAGCAACACAGGAGTTGCAAGTTCACAGAACAATAATGTCCGTATCCACTGTGAAGACGAAATAGTGAATAGTGAATGTAGAACTAGAACACAAAATGATGACACATTCCTGATCAGCGTTAAGATATTTATGTCAAGAACCCAGAGTTTCGGAAACGTTGGTTTTTACCTTCCATTTGATATGTCTATAGAGAACATGCATATAAAAACAGTTCGTGTGAGGGTTGTTTCCTGCAAAATAGGGGAACCGACTGAAACTTTCCATGGAACTTTCAGAATGTTGAGAGCTGATATAGCTGCAAAACTTCTTGCACTTCCAGAAAATAAACGCCTCACGTCAACAACGATAGATTTAAAGGATAATATACATTCAGCAACATTCTTTTCGAAGCTAAAAAATATCTACCACAGTCAAGGGAACGAAGATCAAGTACCAGAATTGGAAAAACAAACTGTGTTTGAACAAACCAATGTACAAGTCGTTATTCAACTGATATCTGTATTCCTTACAGATCTTAGAGGAGAAGGACATTTCCCACCTTCGCCATCGGCTGGTCATACGCATTTCATTTTGCCAAACACAAGACCTTTAGCATTGCTTTCTGATGTTGTAGACACAACGAAGACCTCCATCATGCGTCTGTTGTCATTTGTCTATACCGCAAGCAACGTCATATATCCCGAAATCGCAAGGACTGGATTTTACCTTATCGGCAACACTGGAATTGTCACTTGTACAAAATGCGAATGCATGCCTCGTGTGGACGTCTTCCAACAAATGGAACAATCTGAGTTTGATCAAATGCACAATTTTGGATGTTGTCATCGCAAGTCCTCCGAAGACCAGCTGAGATATTTAAGTCACAACAATTCTAGACTCGACATTCCTGATGTTCTTGATGGTGGATTTTTATACAGCTTTCGACGAATGCATGCAAGTAGTTCGGTTAGCTCATGTCAGCTAGATGCTGCACAGTCTCAGATCGGAAACACAACTGAACACAATTGCCCGAATAACACGACAGCAGGTCATTCCGACAGAAAGCCACGCAATAATGTAGTTACTATCGTGAAAAAGACCCATGCATTTTGCAGGGTATCTAGCTTTTCAGGTTGTAGCTTCGACGCGGACACATTTATGCATGATTTGACATGGACGTATGTTCAACCCTCTTCCTCAGAAATGCCACATTATCCCGTGTGGAGTGCATTTAAATTGCCAAGCAAAAGGAGTGATACATTCAGGGGCTCAACAATTGCTAAGGGTTTGAAAGGAAAACTTGTTGAAAATGGATTTTTCTGTCAAAGTGAGTTGCATGATTGTTACCTAAAAGAATTGAATGTAGATAAATTGTAAAGAATAAGCTTCTTTTTTTTGTAAATTCTTAATCGGTATATTTAATGCGGATTTAATCAAATTGACCTTATCCCTGAGAAGAGGCATTTTACATAATATTTATTTATTTTAAAAGGAAACCTTATCCGGACGTTCTGCTGTGACACGCCCTACATCATTGGTGTTGATAAGGATCCGGCGATTGTCCATGCTAGGTCCTCGTGTCCTCGTGCTATTACGCAAGAATAGCATCAGTGAGTATGTGTTGTATGACTTTGCATTAGGTACGCACCAAACATCAGTTTCAGTTCTGCAAAACATTCGTACATGTACGTGAACATCAGTAGTGTAACTGTGATATCAAAAACTATTAAAACATAAAGGTAAAATATTATAACGTCGTCCTATATAAAAACTGTAATAACAGGTACATATACCCATGAAACAATATCATAATCATTAATAAACATACTTATCAAGGCAAATTGCGAGTTTAGTACAAACTTAATCGACTATATCATTATATTATGGCCCTTTCCCGAGGGAACTGTTCTCGAGGGCATGACTGTCATTTGACAATAAAAAAAAAAAAAAACGAGGAACTTCATTGATAACAGATATAATAATTAACAACAGCTGGAAATTTAAACGTTACATTTAAAGTTTTGATTCATGAGTTGTTGTTAATTGTAACGGTACAATTACTAAAATTGAAAGAAGGTGCACGCCCAATGGAATTTTCTGTTTGCATGTATGTGGTAAAGAACTTGTTTTAATGACAATGTCTGGGGATATATCACTTACAGGGATGACATAGACATTATCATGAGATGTACTAAGTTCTCATAAAATAATAATAATAATAAGAGTTCGAGGTTCTTATATACCGCCTTGGGCCTTTGAAACCAGCCAATATCTTTCTCAACTTCCTGGGGAGCATTTAGCCGGTGTTGCCATTCTACAATTCTAGCACTGCCCAACCACATACTCATTTACAGCTGCGTAGACTGGAACAAGCGGAGTGAAGTATCTTGCTCAAAGATACAACACAGTGCCGTGCCGTGCCGTGCCGTGCCGTGCCGTGCCGTGACTCGAACCCGCAACCCTTCGGTCACGAGTCCGGCGTCCTACAGTTGTATCTAAAACTACATTATTTAGAGTGAAATTTCTCGTGTTTTGCAATAAACAGAGATACGAGAGAATGATATGTTTCATATAACGTAAATCTTTGCAGTAGATAATATATATGTGAAAGAAATATTGATATTTCCGTAAAGTTATTAAGAATAATGTAAAAGTATTGGTTTGTTTTATACAGGAAACATAGAACGTCCAAGACGCAAAGGCGTGACATTATCAACATGCTCGAAAATGGTAAGGCATACTTTTCGTTTGCAATCACCGGTGTATTTATTAAATAATGTTAATGTCTTATTGTCACTTTTGAAACAAAAAACGTTTACAGGACATCATTCTTAAATTAGTGTGTGGGCTGTAAACAACTAGCTATTTAACTTTTCATTTAAAGTTCATTCTGAACCGCAATATTTTTTACCACACCAAATATCTGTATAATACAATGTGTTGAATTTTGTGCATGTACCACAAACCAACAAATCAACAATTATATAAGGTAATACTAATAGAGAAACCTTATCTTCAACAATTTTTATTCTTATGAAAAATTTGTAATTTAAATGTATTTGAATGTAATCGATTTGTTCAAATTTCATTCAAACAGATCAACTACATGTACTGTGGCGCATTAGATTACGTTTGATGGACTTCAATTTGAGTTAAGTTACTTCAATATTGCTGAGGAGTTTCCTGACGTTAGAAGTGATTAAGTGTAGTATTATCGTGGATGTGATATACACCTGGACCGCGACAAGGCCATATTCGAAATTCATGTTTTTGCAACTGGTTCAAAGATTGACACAGTAAACACAGTAAAAAAAACCATGGGTTTAAATCACAGTGAGGTTTCTTATAAGCGTATGAAAGTACTTCATTGACATAATCAAGGTCAAGTAACTATACGTCAACTTAGATAATCTCATATTGTATTTTGTTTGGTATTGATGGAGACATTGTATGAGATTTTCTCTACAGTAACGTCCCATACTGGTACTTGAAATTGTATCTTCGTATATTGTATCTTTGTGTAAAATATGAAACATAAAAATGATAAAAATGATGTCTGTTTAACTTTTAATGTCAACATAAAATGTTCATACTATTCTTTTGATCAAAGATTAAATTATCTCATTTGCACATCTTAATAGGTGAACTTATAAAAGCTAAGCATTAAAAATATATGTCAATGATATAGTTTACCAACAAAGAAATGTGTCAAATTTTAACTTTTGAAAAAAATAAAATTATATAAAACATGTTCACCATTATTTTATGGCAGTTATATAGTTACAAAATATAGTCTCACCATAAGAACATCCTTAGGACCAGTTATTGGTCCATGCACTTGTATGCATTTTTATTGTAGATTCAGCACATTGGTCCATGCACTTGTATGCATTTTTATTGTAGATTCAGCACATTTGTCCATGCACTTGTATGCATCTTTTTTATAGATGCAGCGCAGGTTAATTACGGTACGAAACTCATGTCTTATGATGTATATATGGATTTTATTTGAATCAGACAGTGTAAATAATGTAATTAATATAACATGACGAAAACTATTTTTATTCAAAATAACATTCGTGTATTCATTACATAGCATGTCCCACTCCGCGCACATGTACAACCATGTCACAAATATTAAAAATAATGTTTAGCCTTTCAAATTTATACAGAACAACATGATATGATGTTTAAGTGATGGCTTAATCGAATTATCTATCACAACGTGAAGTGTTTCTGTATGTTAATTAAAGTAGAATTGCACTGGTATCGGAAAACACGAAAAAAATTGCTAAAGGGACAGATAATAAGATAGTTAAAGTTTGGGAGAAAGAGAAAGAGTTGAGTTCGAGATTGGAGTTAGAGAGTAGAGTTCGAGAGTTGAAAAAAGAAGGTTTAGTTAGGGAGACCGAGTTGAGAGGTCTAGAGACATTAAGGAGAGTTAGAAAGTTGGAGAATAAGGAAGTTAGTAAGAATAGTAGTTTTAGCTGTAGTTTTAGGTTAGTGTATAGGTTTTACGTTGGGCTTGGAGTGGAGAGATTGCGTTCACATTGGTGAACACTTGTATATTTTTGACGAATTAAAATACCTGTGTTGTAAATAAAGTGTAGATATAAATGTGCTAATTGTGTTGTTCAATTAATTTGAACTGGTGGCAGCGGCGGAATTATCATAAAATGTAACATTATCTTTCCCCATCAATCAACATTCCAGAGTAAACTGTCATGTACATTTTGTCAAAACGCGTGTGTACAACATTTATAAAAAGTAACTTGACATGTACAGTTTGTCAAAAAGGGGATGTACAATGTCTTTAGAGTAGTAATAGTAATTTGACGGCTGATATGGGCCTTCGTATTATACTGTCCATCGTATTATCGTATTATACTGTCCATCGTATTATACTGTCCAGTACGTTAAATGGGTTCATGAATACCGATAGATAATTTGTTACCTAAATTAGCATTGGATGCACTCAGAGGGGACTACATATATGTCTTAATAGATATAAGCCTCAAACTGTCCATAATTAGGAGACAGAATAAGAAACTTAGACTTTGTCACGGCCTTAACGGGCGTCGATACCTGTTCTTTCACTCACGTACTTGACAGTGTTCAGCTTATATTCATAACCTTAGCATGATTTACGGAGCACAATATATATTGAAAGGTGTTTTACAGGTTATGTGAAACACTATTTATGAATTATGTTAAAATCATGACCGTTTCTCATAAAATTTCAGTACAAATTGTTAAGTTTGGAGATATTTGTAAGATCCGATATTTTTGCAACAAGTTTATTATCTTTCGACAGATAAAACCATCCTTAATGATTCATGACACGATACAGTTTAGTAGTAGATGAGGACACTTTTATTTAACTTTCTGTTTTCTCTGTTGTACATGTACATTCATTTATATAGTGTCTTTTCTTTCAGTTTCTTGTTTCATAATTTAGCATACCATTGGCCAATCCTATATACATGTGTTAGATACATAGTGAAATCATCATACACGTATTTCTGTCTCATCAGTCCAATACGCTGAACATCATAGTATAAAGTTACTGTTAAAGGGTTCTTCTTCGACGAAACAACGTTGATTTTTCCCTTGAGCTGATGGTATAGCAAAAACAATCTCCTATCCATGTAGATTGGTATGTAACACTTACATATTTTTCATTTTTATTTGAGCATGTGATCGTTTCGAAGCCGTGGCGCCTGTATTATGTGCATTTAAATGTATGTTAATATCAGATCTGGTTGATGTTTTCCATTACCTGAGCTATTTTATCGGTAATGTATTTTAACAAGTTTTACTTATTTTTCGTGTTTTGTAAAGCTGCTTAATGAATCAGTTGATTGGGCTCATATATGTTAAACAAACAAAAAGTTCTTTTCTTGCTTCTGTTTTGAAAAAATAAAACACATAATTATACAGTTGTTATATGTATGCCCATCAGTCATATGTAATTATAATAATTATATAATTGTCAATTATATGTATGATTAAAATGATGAGACACTTGGTCATATCTAATTAAGTATTGCTTTTATTTTGTTTACGATCATCAAAAATCCTCTTTTTAAATAGAGTTCCATTTGAAAACAAAGTATTCAGCAAAATTATTTTTACTCTCAGTCCATTAACTAATATAGCATTTGCGTTTTACCCATATATATCACCTTTAACTTCATATAATTACTTGTATCAAATGAAATATGTATGGGAGGCAACTGTGTCAGCACTGTCTGTCTTACATGTTCTATTTTTAGTAAAGGTTATTTCCGAAACACTTAAATTAGCACAGATATTGGAAAAACCTGTGATTGTTCTAACAAAAGATAGTATGCTATTTTTATACCCCGCGAACATATTGAATCAACGTTTTGTAAATGGCGGTACAGCATGTATATTTCTAGATCTCCACTACGATAGCAAACCCGTGACAATGACCATACTTTTTCCTTTTAATTGACTGTTGAAAATGATATATTCAATACTATTAACGAACGAAAAGAGGAATTTAATAAAGCATGCCTCACACTAGTTATGTATGGCTGGATTTTGATCTTACCTCGCAACATCTTTATTTTCTTAAATTAATGAAAAGAACATAATTTCGGACTGGACTAATTGTCTCGTTTGATTAGTGGACATGGTTTTGACGCTTTTTATCATAATAAGAAGACGAAACAGTGACGACGATGCTAATCGAAAACATTTACCAAATCAGTTTTTATTAGAATCTGAAATAGAGGAGGCCACCATATTTCTACTTCGATGATTTATCTGAATCCGAGGTTTAAATTAATTAAGCAAACATCTGTATTATTAAATATAAATATGTTTATTCAAGTTACGGAGATGTTTATAACGGGTACATAGCCATACAACTGGGGAAAAAAACACTTGTTTAACCTCGGTTATTTCGGGTGAAGTTGTGCAGAAATACTTAGAAAAAGATACGCCATAGTTGAGTTCTGAGAAAATATATTTTATATTAATAATGTCAACGTTATTTCCGGTGTCGCTTATTGAATATATCATTTCCCAAAGGTAGTATCATTTATTCAGCTCTCCATATACTGTTAATATAACTTTCGTGTGGTGCCATAGTTCTTTGACTTATTGTTGGTAAGTGTTTACATCTGCTGATATGATTTAGAAAACGCAAGCATGGATATCTCTTGGATATACCCGGCCGTTAATAAACAATGACTCATACAGGTGAGTTAAATATTGATGCAAAGTCATTGCGGATATAAATATAGTAACAAAATATGTTTAAAGTTGATCCAACTAAGTGTATTTGACACACGGGAAATAACTAGAAAATGTACCTGTTTCTGTTGTTGTTGTTATGGTTTTGTTCTTGACCGATCAATCAGGAAAGTATAGTAGCTTAAATATAGCTATCATATTTTACTATTATCTGAAGGATAAAACTTTTAAATAGCAATTATTTAAACAATCTAGAAAATGTAGGCTCTCGCATTAACGTTGAAATCTCCAATAATTCTTTTCTCTAGATGGATTTGTGGAAGGATGTTATTAAACTGTTCCTCTCCATATGTAAGTCCACGGAGGTTAACCCGTAACTCTATCTAAATAATGACGTATTATAAAAAGGCTTAAATTTGACAAACATTAAGCATTCCTTTTCAATATTACTTAAATAAGCATATTTGAAGTCATCTGCGATTATTGTGACAATGTCATTTGTTCACATACTATCCAAAGGAGACATAATTGGCTTTATCACTTACTCCAGATATTTCGTCTTTATTTTGGTGAACTTATATTCGTTTTCAAGTAACTACCTACTGTTAATAAGGAACAAATTATATTATTGAATATACGACTTCCATGAATTTCCCGTAAAATGACGTTCACACGTGGATAGTTGATAGTGTGAAAACAACAAATAATACAAATATATTGGAAAAAAAACATATGGTATCTATATGGGAAATATTCATTAATTTGAAACCAGGTAAGTGCTTGGTACGTGCATCGAAATACAACTAGTTTTACTAAATGTAGTTTGACAAATTATGTTTACGTTTGCACTCATTCAATCCGTTTTCTACTTTGATTTATGATTCATTTCACCTTCGCCTTATCGACAGCTTTCTCTTTCTGGGGGGAATAAACACACCATTTACGAATCATGAAATTGCACTATGAATACTCTTTTGTACTTTCGTTTAAGTAATATGGATATTTTTTCTATAAACAATAGATTCACCATCTACGGTATTAAAGATTCACAGGCAAGAATGTCGAGCATACGAACAAAGCGAAGGTAAGCGTAATGTATTTCATATTTTAAAGGCAATAATAGTCAAATCAGAATCCCCCAAAAATATCACATTCCATTATACAATCAGATACATCTTGTATAGTGTGCATTTGCATGTAGCTATGAGATGGTGTCCCTAAAAAGGTACAACTTATTAACACTGAAACAATTCTGCAATTGGTTACCTTTTGCAGTACAAGTTTAATTAGCATGTACATGCATTAATATATACTATAACGAAACGTAACGCAACCTCATACATTATAGGATGTCTAGATCAATGTTCAAAGTTAACAACTATATCTCAAGTTAGACAGTTTGCTAAAAGTAATCCTTAGATTGCAAGGTGCTTTTCAGTTTAGATTTAATTTATACGTGTAACCTTTTGGTTATTAATGCACTAGCTTAATTGTGTAAGATATTCAATGATAATTCATGCTGTAAAATACCCTCGTTCTGTAAAATGAATGTTTATTCAGTAATAATCAACGTTAAGTATTTTGGTGGTATACTTAACGAGGGTGAGAAAATGTTCGAAATATTTTCGAATCTGGAGTTATATATTCCGTCAGAATATACAAACATATGTTTATTATGTATATTCTACCAAGTAAAATATAACGAAAGTCTTTGATTTGTCTACTTCAGTGTCCAAACGCCTTTGATAAGCAAGGGCTACCTACATACTCTAATAATTAAAGCTAGGCTTTTCTTTTGCGCGCGATAACATTTGTCACGTGATGCCTATATATTTATAATCATTTCATAGCATGCTACACATTTCTATCATTTCTGACCCTGTGGGCAATTGTCCTATTTTGTTTAACAAACGAAAAGTGTCGTTACATCGCAAACGTGATAAAGTATTGTTTTAATCAACCTGTCTTGCGATAGGACATACTCTTTACTGATCATACAAGAAAACCGTTTTCAAATGTATAATTCCAAAATAATTAACACATTTTTCAAAGTGTTCTCCTGGTCTTTTATTTTGCAGTTACCAGGCCCTGGTTTCAATTCTAGATCTGACGAAAGTTCAATTGACTGCCAGTGATATACAGGAACCAACAGTGATAACTACGCCAGGGTCTAACGTCCACATACTCGCAGAACCATTGTTGAGGCATTGTGAACATCCACAGATGACAGATAGTATAAGTGTTAAAACATTCATGTCGAAACAAGGCAGATTTGGAAATGTTGGATTTTATGAACAATTCTGTCCAGTTCCAAAAGAATTTTCAAACACTTCCTTTGTGAAATCATATTCTGTTACGGCCATTTTACAGAAACGTGGCGAACCCTATGCAAAATTCAATGGAAATCTTCAAATGTGGAGATCGGATAAACTAGCTAGACTACTCCCTTCATCAGATAGCCGACACAAAGGATATGAGAAAACAAGAAAGGATGATGTTCATTCAAGAAAATTTCTCTCTAAGGTACGGAGCTTTCACAAATGTCAGGAACACCAACACAACACGCAAACTGAGTTTGGAGATGTGAATGTTTCAGTTCATATTGAACTTGTGTCTCTGTACCTAACAGACCTGTGCAGTCGCGGACTTTTCCCTCCCACGCCACACGCAGGTCATACTCATTTCACCCTGCCAAGCACAGAACCTATACTGTTTTACCCTCAATATGAGATTGTGTGGAATTCGGTTATGAGACTTCTGTCATTTCTCTACGCACCGAATGACAATTACCTATATCCAATTATTGCACGGGCTGGGTTCTATCTTGTCGATCAAAGTGGCAGTGTTTGCTGCAGCGAATGCGACTGCTTGTGCAGCATTGCCGTTTTCGAAGAAGGCAACCAATCAGAATTTGACAAACATCACAAACTTGGATGTATGCATCGCCAATACCGCAAGGAAGACTGTGACCTTCCACAACGCCGACCTGAAACCGAACTGGAAGCACCACATAGAAAAATTCAAAACAAAGCTCCTCTATCACAGACAGACCTGTCACGCAGTCAGGGTGAAGCAGACAGTGTAAGTCACCAGTGTGAAATAGAAGTCGCCTATAACGGACAGGGTGAAGCAGAGTGTTTGAAAAGACAAAGTGAATCGATGAAAACACCAGGATGCATTTCAAAACAATACAGAAACATTGGGCAACACAAGTCCTCAAAACAGCGATCACTTCCGATTACCACTCCAGGAATCCTTAACCAAAAGGCATTGTATGTTTCCCTGCAATCTGACATCCCTATCGTAGATGGGAGTCGCACGTCAAACATGATAGAGACTAAGGAACCCAACGAACAAATATCGCCTGATTTCATTTCTCGAAGAAAAAGGAATGATACACTGCTGCTTCTTAAACTAAAGTTGCAGCTTCGGAAAGCACTTGTAGAAAATGGATTCTTCTATGACGGTATGTTATTTTGATAAAACAGTCATTGTATATAGTACAGATGTTGAACAAGGTGTGTTAAATCGATGATCTTAATGTCAACAAATCCTAAAATAAAATAAGTAAGAATGATTAGGTTTCTTTTTTTTCTTTCTTTTTTTTTGGTAATTGGACATAATGTGCTGAACTAATTATCTAACTGGCAGAACGGTTTTTGATGACTTTAATGTTTTTTGTGTCTTATATTTAAGGCCGTGTTGTCCGGTGCTGTTGTTGTAAAATCATATACGAGATACCATCATGCGAGAATCCATCGCAGTTTCACGCTCGAAAGAACCCTGCATGCCAGTATTTGATTGGAGGAAACTATACACAGAAAGTATGTGATTTGCTATTAAAAAAGTATACATACAATATGTTTATAATCTGCAAATTTAGTGACACCGTAAGTATAGTTCTCGGGAGTGTATTAGTGTGTAGTGTCAGTAGTATTTTCTGAAAATTGTGAAGAATATCTTAACTGTCGGAGTATCAATTGCTATATCAATTTCTACTACATGTAAGTATCTAAATCGAATTAGGTTTTTAATCACGTCATCTGATTTTCAAACTTAACAAATAAAAACACATTGCATCTGACTAACCATATATATTTTATACACAGGTTGACCCAAAAGACGTCTTAGACAGATGGACTGTGGTGATCAGAATGTTTATTACCATAACTCAATATTGACGTATCCTGCAATTCTAGTTACTAATAAGAGCAAACAAGATGTAAACCATTTACTACTTAAAATATGATAATTGCATTGCATCTGAACATTTTAAACTATTATCTATTTCAAGATATTGTATCCGAAGTTTAATATCGATAGTATTTATTTTTTCACGTCAATTTGCAGAAACGTTAAATATTCAGCATTGTACAATTACAAAAATCATCTGACACCTTGTATCAATACATTACCGGTATTGATTTTGTGTAAACTGTTATCATCAATACGTTCACCACAATTTAACGTATAATTCTGACGTGACCTTCGAGAGTATATCATTTATAAGAAATGTCACCAATATCTGGATATGCCGAACTATGGAGTGGATTGGTCGACTTTATTTAATAGAGTGTGAAATAGAAGTGACCAATACTGTGGAACACTCAGTTTTTGTGCAGGTTATATGATTCGATTTGCAAGCTATAATATCTAGAACATGGCACATTCTGATTTTTGCTTTTCCGATATAACAAAAATCGTACAGTGGTGGGGTCGCACAATATTACACAATGTGCGGAATGCGCACGATTTTCGCACCATGTGCGATTGATAAAAAGCTGAACGATTATTGTTTGAGCACATTCGTGCGCACGGTGGCCGAACGCTGTGAGATAACAATCGTGGTTGGTGTGAAAAGGTTGATTTTTTAGAATGTTACTATACTCTAGCTACATGTATAAGCCTATCTTTCTATCTATTTTTTTAAAATTTAGAAGTAGTGTTTCCAGTGTGTTTTAAACTTACATATAATACAAGATATAAGAAACTTTAGTTAAAGCTCATACAGGTAAACAAAAAGCATTAGTTCTTGAGAGCTTTTTTGCGGCAAACATATGTAAAATAACAATCATAGGTAAAGAAAGATAATCACAAACACATTATTATTGAAGGGGTTAAAATATTTATAAAAAAAAAAAAAAAAAAAAAAAATTTTTAAAAAANTTCATATCCAAGGTTTCTAAATGTTTGGGAGCCCCCTTCCTACGAAGGTCCCGGAACATTCAACTTGTGATACAAAGTTATATATGTAGAATAGTGTTAAAATGAAAAGTTATTAAACAAACTAATCAGCAATAAATGTGATTACATATAAGTAGTATTCAGAATAAGTAAATAAATATAGTTAATAGTTAATAGCGAATGAATACTTGAACATGTATATCACACAATACTTACAAAGGGCTTCAGATTATGCATACAATGGTAAAATAGAAATAAGTAAAAAATGTATAGCATTATAATAAGAATAGGATGCTGCAAAAATATAGAATAAGATTAATACATATACGAAATGAAATAAAACAAAGAAAGTATATACAATTCAAATGCCAGGTAGCAGAGGTAATCAGGGCACAATATGAAGTATCACTCTTTACAGAAAGTGCAAAGGCAGATGGGGTCATCTCTGGAATGGACCGGCCTCCTGAATTCTTTGAACTATTCGAAAGTCATGAATGTCCCACGCCTGGGCGGCCTCAAAAACAAAGTTTTTGTCAATATTTCACAGTGTTGACTCTCGGCACATCTGCAGTTTTTTCGTTCCTGAAGTCATAATTAGACATCTGAATATTAGCAAGGTTATGCAACTACTCAAGCAGATTTTGTATATAAGTTTAAAAACCTCACAAACTATATCCTTAAGACGCCGTACACGTAGCATATTCCTGTTGGTAATACTCAGTAGTGCCTGAAGGATGAGTTGTGATCATTGTGTTTAAACCTTAAAGCTATTTCTTGAATCTTTTCTAATTTTCTGACATTCTTCATGGATCTAGTGTGCCAGACTAAAGGACATTTGTTAAAAAAACAAGTACATGAAAGTTGACCAAAGGGGGGGGGGGGCTATAGATCAATAAGAATACAATTAACAAACACTTAACATCCAGTTGTGTTTTCATAACCGTCATACGGTATCACAGCTCTCAATGTCAGGCACATGCCAAGTAAAATCCCGGTCACTCATCAAAATGTTATTCATCTGTTCTGTACCCTGTGGGCCAAATCATTCTTGACAATCTAGCGGTCACTGTAATCATGTGTTACACGCATTGTAAAAGTGAACATAATTTAATTTAGTATGATAAGAAAAGAAACAAAAAATACACAGTATATCTTATTTCGTACGATTTATATTTCATTCCGTAAAATGGATTAGCCAAGTGTATCAAATCGCCGGCAGAGAACTCCAAGGGTCCAACGATTGTTACATCGCACAGTTATTCGGACATTATGCGTATGATGTGTGCACGATGTGGGCACGATATTATGGTGCGTTGTGCCGTCACACAACTGTAATGTAAAGGTATAGCACTTCTACAATTTGGTTTTAAGAAATTATTTCTATTAGATTGCAAACATAATAGATTTCAGATAAAAACAATCGGAAATATGATTATATTCGATCTGCATATGACAACTATTCAAATATATTCCAAATAAACAAGTGTTGGAAAACAAAAAATACATATGCGGCAAAACAGGTTGCAAATTTAACTGTTTTATATCACTTAATTTTTTGTGTTTCCCTTTATGCCATTCTAGTGGAACTGGAGGTAGGGTACGACAATTCCATGAGCATAACCTACATTAATAGAATCGGTGCCATCGTCTTCGCCAAAACGTGCAAGCTCACATTATCAACGGTCGCCATTATGATGGCTATCGAGTTACTTCTTCGTCTATAAGCATTCTTTATGCAAATGACCGACATTAGCGCGACATTTTAAGAGACCAGGATACACAAATGAATAATGGCTGCGCCTACGAATAATGTGCATACAAACGAGTTTCAACAGTTGATGGCACAAAAACTAATCGATTTATGTGTACGGAAACAGAGTAGTGTGCTTCCACAGGGGATCGAACCCGCGAACCTACACTTTAAGGTCGGATGCTCTAGCACTATGCTAAGCGGACATTTCTCTAGCGCGAATCTACAAGGCATCCGCGATCCTATGTACAATTGAAATCTGCCACATATGTATGATTATCATCGATGACTAAGGAACAAAATCAACCCTCAAGAGCCCCTCCTTGACAACACAACGTAAATTTCCGTAATAAAAGTTCAGCTACATATTGCCAAACCCAGGTACACGGTACAATAGGTAAGCTTGGATGAGTCCATAAACGACATAGAAGTCGCAATTTGGCACTCATACTTTCCCCCCAAAGATATCGGCGATCTGTTCGTAACAAAAAAGGAATCCTCAGCCAAGTTTAATGCCGGACTTGCTAAAAACTATAGACGAATGTTTCGAACGTCGATTGGATCACAAACAACGGACATAATTACTCCTGAAAAGATTACTGCCCTAAATAAAGTGACACGTTGAAAGTGCCTAGAATTAATTCAAGCATTAGATCCACATTTAGAGTTAAAACAAAACCAAGCAAATTGGTTAATACTTGACGCGAAATACATCTTTGGGGCAATGTACCTACTCATCCAGCTCGCTAACGTGCTGACACAAGGCAGCAGAGATTTGCCCCCGTCAGCAGTAAAAGAATGTATCATGTTAGCGCATGACGAATTTTGGACTACTAAAGTAGGTTTTAGTGACGTCACTTACCGTCGCCGACAAGCATTAATGCCCTTTTACATCCAGATTTTTTAAGACATTTGTGACTCTACAGACAGTTTAATTTACACTTCACATGAGTTAGCACTCTACTAGAAATCAAAACAGTTTATGAAAAGTGTGCTTTAGAAACGACCGTAGTTCCCACGATACTCACATCGGATATGTCTATGGTAGGAATTTATTTGATAAACGAAACGTCATTGTCAACTCAGGTTTTGCTACACTTTTACTTACATATTTACTTAAACAATCTAGACCAGCGCTTCACTCGGATCCTATTAGACTGCAGGCATTCCGAAAAGACAACAGACAATGCGTATTGTAAACTTTGTTAGAATACCTGAAACGTACTCATGCATGTGATACAAATAATCACACAAAAACAAATCTTATCACAAAATGCACCACATAATCCTGTTTGTGAGCAAACAGTATCAAATTGGATAAAAATGTGCTGAAAATGTATCTTTGAACAAACTACACAGCAACAGAACTGCGTACATGTCAGAGACTTAAATAGTAAGTGTACCAATACCGGACATAATGAAAACAACAGGTTGGAAAAGTGACAATATGTTATACACGTTTTATAGCAAGGAATTGAGCACATCTACAAACACTGATGCACTAAGTGCTAGCAGCGCAATTGCCCCGCCAACAAACTGCCAGCAGAACATGAAATAAAAAATGTGTAGGTTGATATGTACAATATAATGTATACATATGTCTGAATCAGATTAAAGTTACTAATAAACATATAAAGTTCTGTGTGTATTTCTGAAATCTCAGGTAGGTTAAGTTCATGAAATTGGAAATTAAAGAAGCGTCCTTACGAAAGCGAAATTTGAGATAAATCCTAAAACCTTAATTTCTAAAGCCCGACTATACCGTGTCACAAATTCTAACCATTGAATAACGTGATCACATCATCATCTAAATTCAACCATAACTAAAAGTTGAAATAATGGACTATATCCCTTTCCGCTTTAAGAGGAAGGCTCATTTCATTTCACTTTTATCGGCCTATGTAGCTGCTATCATTGAAGCAGTCTTTTTGTTTTCATGGGTGTTTACTTTACGACGGCGGATTTGTTTGAGTGGCCGGAAGAGGTTCCGAGCTCACTACGCATGCCACAGAATAAATGGGTGTGTGATACAGGTAATATACGGTAAGGAGGCTGAAAGTATAAAATGGGATTCCAATACCAGGAGAGGATACCCTCTCCGCACAGGCTCTGATAACGGATGCCCAGGCAATGACCAGCAGTACTACCAATGTGCTGGTATCAGTACAAAAACGTTAGAAAATGTTAAAAAATGTCTTTAGTAAGATTTATGTAATAGACGGTCACTTTATTTAGAGGGCGCTTATCACTTTCATACTACATTTCCTATAAGTTAAATTAGTACTGTATTGTCCTACCTTTGTAGAGTGATGTGCGATCTGGTGTATCTGTTGTTATAACTGTATATATGTTTATCTTGTTGATCATGGCTAATTATGTCGGGTTTTTCTTGATAAATATCAGTAACTTATCAGAAGGTGTTGATTAGTTCATTGCTTATATTCTCCTCACCCCTGACGGGCCTGTGTATCTGATTGACTAACACAGTAGGATATTCACAGGAATTGACCGTTAGACTATATGATAACATATGTATCTGCCGACACCAGAACGACACTTCCCACGGGTATCCTTTTACACCTGTACCTTCATATCAAGAATAAAGGGATCCAGTACCCTAGATAATTAGATAGACTAAAAGCAAGGTGATATGCGAAGTCTTACCGTTCACTTTGTTGTAAATTAACAATTTTGTTGGACTAACACTCTCTTTTTTCTGCTTTTGTTTGTTATCAAGGCAATGCTTCTTTCCCTCGAGGATTACCGTACGACCAAGTATTCCGTCCCGTGACAATTCCATCGTAACCGTGTCACAATAAAAATGAACTTCAAGGTAAACAATGACAAGTTAGTCAGAATGTACACAAAGTCTCTTTTTATATATATATTCCATTGCATCGTCATATAATCTGATTTTAAAATCACGTTTATTGTAAAATACAACAACCTCGAATGATTATTGTATTTTAGTGCGAGTAGTAGGCTCTTTCACATGTCTGGCAACAAAATTAGCGGAGCCCAGTTGGTATAGCGATTCTTTGTCGGAGCAGCATATGTTCATGATTTGAACAATTTTTATTTTTTTAAAGTTTTATTTCGAGACGTGATAAAGTACCGCAAAGAAGAATATGTTTTCCTTCTAATAATTACCTATTTCATCTCAGTAATTAAGCATAACAATCAGTATACGCCATGCCAGATATACGAACACAAGTTTTAACAGGAAAATTATTTCTTTTTATAAATATTTTAAGTTTGGCTTATTAATTGAATATATATACAGTACGTTTAATATGATGGCATTTTAAATGGATACTATTTTTTATAGTTATATTTTTCTGAATGTCTAAAGTAATGTGGGGTTTTTTGTGAATGTGCAATTGAAGGGCTGACATGCATAATTCTAATAGGAAAGTGAAAACATGTCCATAGAAATTAAAGTAGATTTTTTTTAAAAACATCATAATGCTATAATAGAAGTATGGATTGTCTACAATTTTTGATAACATTGTTACTTTGATACTTTGTTGAGTAGATCAATGCATCAAGTTGACAAGTTTACATTTTCGTAACCATAGCGCAGATTTTGAAAGACCTGATCATGTTCACAAGCAAGAAAATGCGTTTGTCGTGTTTGTATAATTTTGTTTCCTTTTGTCCCAAAACCAATCAAACAGGATTTAATATAATTTCTTTGTTTTCGGCATTATGATCTGATTTTATCTTTGGAATCACATAAACGGGTTCACTGATAATTTTCTCTCCGAACGAACTGCTCAGGTCCACCATTGTCGCCGCCATCTTGTAGTCTGACTTGTCGCTTTTCTTGGTGGGTGGGAGCACGTCGGTGGTTGGGGGGNAATAATAACTAAATAGTAAGAGTTTACAGTCAAATATATCAATACTTGTACATTACATTTCATTTACATTACACGTTTTAAGCCACGAAATACAAGACGAGTTAAAATATGTACTTAAAGAACTATGGCGGAAAACTGCCCATATATCCCCAAGTCGGCAATTATGAATACGGGAAAAAATAATGAGCAAATCATTTCTAGTAGCAAAAATGCATGGAAAAGATATCAAACCACTTGAATATGAATGTTTGAACTGCTGAGATATTATGTATTTGTTAATATAATACTGTAAAAATGTAATGGGGTCTCCCAGACTTAAAAAAATACTTTCATCACTTTCCCATCCGAGGACATATTTTTGAATGCATTTTTTGATTCCGTGATGTTATATGCAAAAATAAATCGTATAACGGTAAAGTGCTCAAAATAATGAAAAACATGATTGATAAAGTTTCTCAAAACTTTTTCTAGGGTTAAAACAGACTGTAAGTGTAACCGAATGTGTAACGCAGTTTACTGAAGTAAACGGTGCAAGTTTTAATCAACGTTCAGATTAACTTTTTTTAACATTTAGGCATGTGATCTTTTTCCTTACTTAAGTAATGATATTGGTTAAAACTTTTACATGCTAGTCGAACTGAATATCAGAAAACCTTATTGTAAAATTAATTGGGTTTATCAAATTAAGCATGAACTATGTAGTTTGGGTTTTAATTATATTTGGACTTGTCAATATGTACAAAATGAAAATCTTTTTTTTTTGCAAATGTATACTCAACGTGTTCCTGATATATTTATCCAAGAATTACTCAGTGCTTTTGATGCATCTTCAAAATGTTATTTGTTGATACCTTTTGCGTCCAGTTCTATCTGACTAAGCCCATTAATATAAGGATAACAAAGTTATTGAGTCAATTTCGCATGCAAGCACACAGTCTCAACATAGAAGCTGGGCGCTATAATAACATTCAAAGAGGTCAGAGAATATGTACAGTCTGCGATAAAAATGATATCGAAGATGAAGTACATTTTGTACTACTTTGTCCTGCATACTCTGATTTGAGAAAACATACATCAAACAGTATTATTATCGACATCCAAGTGTCTATAAACTAATAGAATTATTTACCTGTAAACGTGTTAAATCTTTTAAAAGACTGGGTAAATATATGTGACACGCTCCTGTTAAAAGAAAAATTCTCCTCGCTCAGTAGTGATATTATATTGAAACAGCATTTGTAACTACTTTGTTATAAGTGTATATGTATAATAATAGTTATTTAAGATTCGTTAATAGCGCGTTAAATAGTACTTTAATGACATCACATGGTTCTTTCTGGCTGTTTGAAGTTATATGTAGTGTTTTCATTATGATGTCATTTTCCATGTCCTCACATATATACAGGTAGTAAAGTCACACATATGATTACTAGTATATTGTTATATACTTCTCACAACTTTACGAAATAATCATGCTGTAAAACTGCAAGTGATATCATTATTACATGTCTGTAGGCATATATATATTTGAATGGAATTGTCCTCCGCCATCTTGTACATCACATATGAATTTTGAATATTTAATTATGTATGTTTGTAACCTATATGCTGTATTGCATTTGGATATAATAAAACTTGAAAAAAAAAATTGAGACAGGTAACTTTCATACAGGTAAGTTACCTGTGGGGCAAGTGTGAAACAGACTATAATTGGTTTGCCATTGTCTTCCTATATCAACACTTTTCTTTGTTCTCTTAAACGTGGGGGAACAGAGAACACCCCACTACCGGAATGTTTGAAAACGGCATTTCTATTGTATTGCCTGGTTGTCATTATTTCATTTATATATATAAGCTGAAAAATCATTTGTAAAAGTGATATATTTCAGTATTTGTTTTGAAATTCGCAGTATCGTAAAGTAAACATCACATGGAAAACTACGTTGACGTAACTTAATGTTGTTGTCATGGTCGACTTTTCCGAGGTTACAGCAAAATGTTGAAAGTTACAGGCTACAATGAGTTACATATAGGTCTAGAATGTAACAATGTCATACCATATATAAATTAATTGTGTTTGTATCTTTATGTCCAGCAATTGCATACATGGTTATAGACTGGTGACCTCAACTGTTTCCAAGTAATGACTCAATGACTAAGTCACAACTCTATGGGTGGGACTAGACATTGGGATCAATGCCTAGATGTGCATCTTAGTATAGTGAGCAATTTTATATATGGTTAAAGGGTGGAGATCTTAATCATTTTTAGCTACAAATTATTTTTGATTCCACTCCTCAGCCCTAGAGTAAGCTCTTGCATTTAGACAATTTATAGTCCCCATTACCTAGAGATAAAGGATTATGGTCAGATTGGTCCCGCCCCTAAGCCCACAGGGGAATCGCCGGCCCCTTTATTTGTACAATTTTGGATCGCTACCATCTAGAGATGCTTTCACACAAGTATGGGTGATATCCTTTGCTAAGTTCCAGTTTTCATTTTATCTATTTCGAATGTTTCTTTTTATCGCTTAAGGATCGCTCGTTTACTTCTGTCACGGTTTTTTCCTCAAGTAGTATTTGCTATCAAGTGGCTGAGTAGATAGGCTCAAAGGTTAAGGACTTCCCTTGAAAAGGGCATCTCGCAATGTTGGCCATTCGCATTGGTTTATGTAAATAGGCATGATGTCATTACGCTGGCTATTAATACAAAACAAATTATTTTCCCGGTCTACTATAAGCAAGACCACACACTCTTGTTTTTTTCTAACGAATCAGAAAGCATGAGTTTATTGCGCGAACTAAATGATGCAAATCAGCATTCATTTCAGTGTCCGTATTACTATACCTTTGATTTGATCTAAGACACATAGATACTGCCCCGTTCATGTAATTGCAATTTTTGTTATCAAATATATCTTATACACGATAAGGATAATTAAATATATACAATAAATATATATAAATAAGTCCGATCTTGCCCCGTTTTGTCCGTTCCTGTAAATCCCCGCCCGTTCCTGCCCGATCCATATCAATACAATACTCATAATTCGTTGCAATTTTTTTATCAAATATATCTTATACCCGATAAAAATTATATATATATATAACTATAAATATAGGTCTTAAAAGTAATAACGACATAAATGTATATATTTAATTTAGTCCGATTTCACCGATCATGTAATTGCAATCCTTTTATCAAATAAATCTTATACCAGAATTACATTATGCATGCACGTGTGTTGTTTTCCCCAATTGTGTTAGCAGTTGTAATAACACTTTATGACAGCGCTGTCGACGTACAAGTGGATAATTCATATTCAAAGAAAATCGGCCTCTTGTGTTATTTATGTACATTTGTATGTATACTATACATACAAAACCAACACAAGAGGCCGATTTTCTTTGAATAACGTGTGAATAATGTTCAGTACATACTCCTATACAGTATAGGAGTATGTACTGAACAATATTCACACGTTAAAACAGCTTTGCAACTGAGAATGTTATCCAAACACACATACACACACACTCTCTCCCACACACAAATTAGGACATAATTAATTCACATAAACATCGCGTATCCTTTCACCCGGAAGTTCTTTACCAGACATTATAAATAGAACTGTCTATATATAAAAACACCTAAACCCCAGTCAATAACGGCCCTGACATTTTAGATGTCCGCAAGGGTACAGCACATGCGTTAAGAGTGTATGACTGCCTTTCAGTTTTCTTCACGGTGACCGTTTCTTCTGTGATCAAGCTCCCATCATTGACAGCTTCATTGAAGGTAAACGATGAGCATGTTTTGTTGTGTTTTAAGTGTACACTCTCAAATCATATGTATGGCAGGTGGTGGGTTTTTTTCTTGTGTATATGAACAAGATATGGTGGCCTTACTGATCCTTGCATAAGTGACACATATAAAATCTTAAATGAGTTTTCATTTTATAAATATAAATAATACATAATATCAGGACTTAAATCCGTGATAATCTACTACAGTATATACAAATAAA